TAATCCCACCACATGGTATTCTTTGCATTCTCAGAGACCATTATTACATCCTTAATAGTAGAGTCTGTGAAACTTATGATTTTGGTAAATTGTTCTGACATGAGTGAGACAGAAAGGGATGAAACACTCGATGAGAAACATGAAATCCAAATGGTCGTGAGAAGAAGAACGGTGGCGACAACAGCGACAACCACCAATACAATTAAGAGACACTTGATAGAGGCTGGTGGTTTCCTCTCTTTTGGAGTTACCTCTTCTTGTTGAGAGTCTTCATCTGATAATGCATGATTATCATCCATTTCTTCATCTTTATCCGTTGAGGGTGCAATTCGTGTCATGGTGTTGTTTTCTTCTTAAAGCTCTAGTACAATGTTGTTGGTGGCTCTTTGTAAGGTTTGGAGGTTTGTTGATAGTTTTTTTAATTGATTTCAAAAATGTTCAAGTTATTTATTTGGAAGTGAAAAGCACGCAAAAACCCTTCCCAACACTTTAGCGAATATCGAAGCGCATCCTCTTGACTTGTGGTGAGGTTCTTCAAAATCCACTACGTCGTCACCAGTAAATAAAAGTCTTGCATTGGAAAAGCTAAGACAATTATCAGAGGAGGAAGGAGAACTTTGGGGTGAGTTAGAAGACTCTCGCAGTTCTATGGATTGTGGCTTTGGTGAATCAGCCTTAAATCCTAATAAGGACTGATTATTTTCCTCCGATACGGCTCGCTTAATTTTTACATTTGTTATGGAGGTGGAATTGTCTATAGGTGGAAGAATAAGCGATGTATTACGCTGCTGCACCAATGCAGCAGAATCAATAGTGGATTCAACAAATTGCTTCATCGTTTGTTGAGGTACTGGTTGTAAACTTTTGATGGGAGATGTTGTGAACGAGGAAAGCTCAGTAGTAGTAGATTTCTGCTCGGAATCTCTGTTGGATGGTGATTGAAGTTGAAATGTTTCTAATGATGGAGGTTCCCTTAAAGGAGAGATTTCCACCATTTCAGAATTAATCCAGCTCGGTTCTGAAGATAAAATATCAAACGATTTTTGTAAAGTCAAATCATCATTTTTGGCTTCGTCAATGTTCATAACATCAGTTTGTAGCATGATAGAGATATCATCAACGCTAAATGTACCAATTACAGGTCTTGATTCTTGTGCCCCGATCTGTTGTTGCTCGAGCGCAGTTGAAACAATTAAGGTCATTGTTTGGGAAGGAGCAAAGTCATTGTAGTTAATTTCCTTAATCAACAGATGTTCGTCATCCACTTCTTCTTCAACTTGTATTGGTTGTTGCTCTTCTTCAGCCTGTTCACTATCATGATGATTGGTGGGGAATAGTGGCATGATTGGCTGCTGACCAAGTGGTGATGTTACATCCATTAAAATAAATTCTGAGGATAATCTCTTGGAGCCATGAAAATGTCTCTTCTCCACTTGAGTTACACCAGTTTCATTAATATTGTAAACTCTAATTGATTTATCACTGCATGCAATCCAAACTCTATCTCCAACAGTCTTGATGCACCACACAAAGCCATTGACAGGAAATCTGGCAACCAGTGACTTGTCATTAACATTCCAGATTGACAATTCCTTGTTAGTAGCAACCCACACGTACTGACCAGCAATGTGCATACAATTTACATAGGAAGGAAAGTTAATAGTGTGTTCGCAAATAAAACTTGTTGGATTCCAAATCTTTACACTACAATCTCTGGAAGCACTCCATACTCTATTCGTCTTGGTACAATAACTCAATTGAGTTACGCCTGCATTAGTTATACTATTCTTTGAATTATCATGATTGGAAGTACCACTCGAGAAAGATGACACAAAGGAAGAATCATCCAAACTTTCAACACTCTTATTTTTAGACAATTGAGGTGAGTGTGTAATTTCCTTAATAGTTAAACCAGTATTGGTATCCCATACTCTAATCAGAGAATCATCGGATCCACTCCACAACAACCCTGAAACTGAGCACAATGTATTGACCCAAAGTGATCTCATTCCAATACAATTTACCTTTGGTGTAAAAGATGAACTGTCCCATAATCTGATAGAAAAGTCAACAGAGCAAGATGCAATCACATCATTGCCAAGATAGACAATATCTGTCACTGTTCCAATATGCCCATGAAGATTTTTAACCAAGCACCTCTTCTTGATATTGTAAATATTAATACTGCCATCTGCCATACCAGCCCACACATGAATTCTCCAACTGGACACATACATGAAACGTAGAGTTTCTCCTTCTCCTCATATATTGTTGATACTGGTTTACAAGAATTGGTGTCGAATATCTGGTAAATTTTTGATATCAATATAAACAATAGTATTATAAAGTTAGTCAGAAATCAATTGAAAACACTTACTGCAATAATACCCTTACGTTCACCACACCAAACCTCAGTACCTTCATCTTCAGATATAGAAATAGAGATGGCATCAATGTTATTAATTCTACTGTAGGCATTGAATTTGTGTGTTCCTGAAATACCTTGATATCTTGCTCTACTCTTTGGGGTGAGAACCATTGTAAGAGGTTCTCTAATGGTGGTCAAACTTGTTGAAATACTCAATGGTGTCGATGGAGTTAAACAAGATGTTGAACGTTTCTTTGTCGGAGTGGATCCATTCTTTTGAGGTGAGTTCAATTGCCAAGACTTTTTCACAGCAGCCAATGCAGGCAAAGATGGCATTGCATCCGAATTGAAATGTTGGGGGACAGCTTTTGAAGGAGAAGGAGGTGGTGGTAGATTATTCACTGCATTCTCCTTATCATCCAATAGCATTGAAGGTGACGAATGAACAGGTTCCTCCTTAACCAACTTGTTCTGGAGCCTTGATTTACTGGTAATGATAATTTCAGTGGTGGAGCCAATGCCATAGTGTGCAACTCCACAATAGGATTTAGATCGAGAGTGATGAGCATGACGATTTGGTGTTGGTGTACTTGGTGTTGCCTTATTATTAAGAATTGGAGTCGGTTGGATATTTGGTGTATTTGAGATGATTGGATTCAATAGGGTGGTCTTTTGAGATGATGATGATGCTTGGAAAGAGGCCCTTAGAGGTCTTCGTTCTGGCGTCTTGAGGGGCTGTTGTTGAGGAAGCCTATGATGATTACCAAAACCAATACCACTGAAGGATTGATTTAATTGTGGTGGTGCTTGAGTAGCCATTTTTTTTAAAATGATTTTAATAACTGTTATTTAAGGCGGTAAAATATTAATTCATAACGTTTAATTTCCTTAAAAATAAATGCAACAGCTTGAGATTCCTTTGACATGGTTAATTATTTCAAAGATACAAATAGAATGTATAAAACAACTAGTTTGAGGTTCAATACTTTGCAATTGGGTCCAAAAGTCAGATGTCAACTAATAATTCTGAGATGAACCAAATAATAACAGAATAACTGTTTAATTACTCTTTTGTTTTTGTGACAAAGCAGATACCAAATAGTTGTATGATTGAATTAACATTAAAATAGGCACAATAACCCAAACACCATTGGAACCAACAGTGTAAACATAGAAGTAGAAAGGATCCATATTTAAATTGCTTCCTCCTTCAAAGATAGCAGGCACAAAAGTCATCCAGTCGCCATATAACTCACACGTACACAAAACAATTTGCCAGAAGTGTCTGCTTGGTTTGTTTGTCCACATCTATTCCAATATTTTACATTAATAATCAATATTTCCAAATAGTATTTTGATACATCACAGAATTATGTAGAATCGATAATCGATTATTACAACAATTTTTCGTGTTATTGAATTATTTTCATATTTTCAAATTAACAATCAATAATAATAATAATAAATTAACACATTCGGATGAATAATAACAACATACAGTATACAAGATAATAGCACACAACAAGGTGTCAAAAGTACAAGTCAATAATTCCACAGAAACAATACATGGATCCAAGATTAACCATTTTGAATCAGCCTTTGAACCATACTCTGTCCATGTCCAAAGCAACCACTTGCCAATAGCAGTGGTAGGTTGAGCCTTTGCAACAGTGGTCGTTACACTAAAATACACGAAGGAGGCTTCCAAGATGCCGTGCACAAGCAAGTCAATGATGAGCCACAAGAAGACAAGCTTGTCAGCGAAAGAGAATTTGGCCATTATAGCTTCAAGAATTTTTTTTAATTTTTTCGTAACGGTTTTTTAAAGCGCTCCTCTTGTCGCATTCCGTTTCAAATAAATCTCAAAAGAAAAACAATGCAACAAGCTTCTTTGCTGTAATTTAGTGGAGACTTTGTTTTCTTGAAGATAATTATTCAACCGGGTTGAACAGGACACCTTCATTATCATCATTATGCACCAACCCTCTGCGCACCAATTTAGCAGACATTTCACTATGAGTCAAGTTAAATCTATAAAAGTTGTCTCTCATATTGTGCTCGCAACCTAATTGTACTTGATCAAAGATATCACTCCTCACACTAATATTCTCACTGCTGGACAAGTCTACATATCTCGACTTGGACATTCCCATTTGATGATTATTATTATTATTATTATTATTGGATTTCCCTACAACTGATAAAGTTTCATGATGATAGGATACTTGCTTGCATAGAACATTAAATTGACTTTCAATTTCTGGTATTCCAAACTCTCTTCGTGCAATATTCAACTCTAGTGGTGCTCCAATTCTAATATAGGTCCTGTAGATGTTGTAGAAGAGTTCTCTCTTGAGCCTCTCTGCTGTAACACTCTTGAATTGCTCTACAGCATTCCAAAACATGATATCTTCACAAGCAAAACACTGCTCTGAATACTTTAAAAAGAGACCATTCCACTTTTGATTCTTTAAACACTTGTGTAGATCAGCGTCTCCAATTTCTTTGATGTTATTCTTGCTATTAGAATTGTCCACTTGCTGTAGGAAGAACACTGGAATAGTACAGGAAATTATCATGTCTGATAAACATGACAAGAGGATGGTAGAAGTCCATGGAAAGTAATAATCCACTCTATTATTCGAAGTATTATTATCATTCATTAATACACATGAGATTTAATACTTACAATGTGGTAATACTACTGAACATATTTGGAATACCAAAAATTGCAATACATAGAATCCAATTAATGGCAACTAGTACAACTTCTCTCTTCACTTGCCAAACATCCTTCTTCATCACTACAATGGCAACTATGGCCAACAAGACTGAAAATGAAGCATACACTGATAACATTCCAAGGAAGTAATTAGTATTGTAACTTCCAGTTCCACAACCATTTGGGGAGAATAGGTATGTATCCACCACAAAGGCATTCTTCTTATTGATGCTGTTGAGTTTTGGATCTGGACTTTTGTAATTGAAATAATCAACAATTCCCACAATCAAATAGACCAATGTGTGAGTTCCCAATATGAGAATGTAAAATATCAAGATGAATTTGGATCCTGTTAGAAATCTTAACAATCTCAACAATTTTCCATTTTCAAAATTTACATTAGATAATCTGAATTCATTACCATAGAATTTATCTGCTTGTTTGGGTTCATTTTGTCGAGTACTTAGATCCAATTCGTGCAATTTGGTAATATCCACAATGATAGAATGTTGTTGACATGGTTCTTCATCATTTGATTGTATTAGATGTAGAACACCATTTGCTGAAGAATAGGTTCTCGATGGAGAAACACTCATTCCACAGGAAACCAAAGTATTTACAGTGCTTGGGGTACTCACAGATGATGGTTGTAAGCCTTCATTGGATATGACAGAATTACTTCTTTGATGATTATTCATTTCGCAAACTTCATTATGAAATGAATTGTGCTCTCTAGTTGAGTGGGTGTCTGTCTCCTCTTGGCTATTTGTTGTCATTGTTGTCACAGTGGTTGTCGTATTGGAGAGGTCAGTGGAGAGAGGTTTGTTATAGATTGGAGGAGGTGGCATAATATTATCAAAGGATTCTGCCATTTTAATGACAATTTGGATATTACTTTCATTTTCAAATTGTTTCACTTCCTTATTATTCGTTATTTGAATTGTACTTATTTTTCCTTCTTCCTTCTCTTGGAGCATTTCACGTTTTCCAATCCTAACTTTCAATTCGTGCAACTTTGTTAGGGCTATAAGTCTAACACATCTAATGATAATAGTGCTGGCCAATCCAGGTACAGACAAGTAGTAGATTAGAGAAAATAAAAAACAGGGGAATATCTTACGACCTATCAATACCCTCGATGACATGATTAAGGTATACAACCAGCCAACTACTGCACCCCAAATCATAAGGACAGGATTTCTAGCACTGATAAAGTTCACCTTTAAATGATTGAACTGTTCAGCCTGTTTTAATTTCCTCAATTTGTAGAACAGACCACTCAATGTTATCAGCAAAAGAATAGAATAACATGAAAGAATAGTTCCCATTACAATATAGGAAGAAAAATAATCATCACACAGCCCCAAGTTACTCTTAAAACCTTGACTCAATAATATTGGATGACATATTAGCGAATCATTTGATGATGATGAAATATTCGAAACTATTGTAGAAGAAGCATTAATTTGTTCAGTGATGATCCTAAATCCTAAATACTGATTGATTTCTGGAGTTTGGGCCAGAGCAAATCCACTCCTATCTGCCCAACACCACTCTATGATGATTCCAACCAAGACAACTGGTAGAAATTCTATCAAAGAAGGCCATTTGAGAGGTATTGATGATTGTGCTGTCATTTTGTTTATCTTTTGTTGTTGCTGAGCATAGCCTTAGAGAGATAAAGTTTATTCCCAATTAATCAATTTTATTTTCAAATAATGAACTTGTATATTCCTTAAAGTGATCATATGATTAGATTTATAATTATGCAATAGTTATGTCATTGAGACTTTACAATCCTAGGTTGATTTAAGTTTCAGCTAGTATTTGAATTCAATAAATCAAGGGCACTAAGATTATTAATAATCCTCCTATTAAACAATGGTCGGGTTGAGAGGATTCTCCGAAATGCATTTCCATTGTTAATATAAGCTTGCAAAACAACTCAATCAATTAAAAAGCCAAAATACAATAAAAAATGCTCAGACAATCATCCAAGTTGATTAAATCAGTTGCCTCTAAGAATTTGAGAATCACATCTCTTCAAACTAGATTCTATGCCTCTGCCACTTCGGAACATGTTATTTCCATCAAGGATGATGATCATTTCATTAAACATTTGAAGGAAACTACAAAGCCATTCATTATTGATGTTTATGCTGATTGGTGTGGACCATGTAAAATGTAAGTCTTAATGTTTATTAATTAATATTCATTAAATGTTGTGATTCTTTTCGGATGATATTATTCGGAATGTGTGGATTAATGATGAATTAATATTCAAAATAATATTAAATTTTAATAATAATGATTGAAAATGATTAAATAATACATAGGCTTGGACCAATTCTTCAAAATGTAGTCACTGAACATAATGGAAAGATTGAACTTGTTACCATTAATTCTGATAACTTGCCAGATCTTGCTGGAGAACTCGGAGTGGAAGCATTGCCAACTCTCTTCTTTGTTCAACCAGGTGGTAAATTTGTTTACAGACATGTTGGATTTGCCGATAAATCAAACATTCAATCTCTTGTCAAGAAGCACTTGCTTGAAGGTCAATAAATTATTTTGTAATACTTTACTAATTATTTAAAAAGAACACATACGTCTGTTCATCAGATAATATTATTCGTCCGGCTTACATTGATCAAACATAATAAAAATCAAAAAATGAGTGAAGAAGAGGAAGTGAAAGTTATTGCTGGTGAAGATTCGGAAGAGGAGGAAGAAGAAGAAATTGAAGAACCAACAACAAATCAAGCAAATGTTGTTGCTATGGTAATTGATGAAGGTAAAAATGTGGACGGAGAGGATGATGAGGAAGAAGAGGAACCACAGGAAATTGAAGGAGAAGACGATGAAGAAGATGAGGAAGAGGAGGAAGAACAACCTGCTGCAACAACTACATCTTTGTCTGTAACCACTACTGTAACAAGCACTGTTCAAAAACCTACTACAACAAACACAGCTACCACATTGACAACGCCATCTGTTGCCTCTCACGAAAGGACATCATCAAGTGCTTCGAACGTGAGTGAAGGAACAACAACCAATACATCCATTACTACCAATCCACAAATTTCAGATACCATTTCGGAATCTGCAACACCAGTTACACCTACTGCATCCCAACAAGGTGCAGCTCTTGTGGAGGGAGCCACCAGAAAGTTGTCAACCTTTTGGAAATCATTCAAGAGTAATGTAGCTACTGTTGTAACCACAACCAATCAAGCTATTACCTCTACTAGTATTATTACTTCGACACCACCTCAAGGTACAACTGTTCCTCCTTCAACAACTTCTCAAGTAGTGACATCAACAAGTGAAACGACCACCACTGTTGTGGAAAAAACCAATGGTGAAACAAATGTAAATAATGAAATATCAGATGAAGAGCCACAACCACCAAAAACACCTCCACACAATCAAAACACTCAACCAACATCTGGATCTCCAAGTTATTCAACTTATTTCTCTGGTGTTCTCAACAAGCTTAAGAGTGAATTACAGACCTCTACTCTTGCAGAGCCAGTTGAAAAGTTGAAGAAGGCACTAACTGGAGAGCCAAGCCATGATCTGAAAAATCCTAATCAAATTATTCTTAAAGTTACACACAGAATGAAAGATTTGAAACATTCAAATGAACAATTAGAGCAAACAATTCACACCAAGTACTCAAATACTTTGGAACATATCAATGTAGAATTAATGAGATTGAGTAATGGAATGACAAGAACCCTTCAAAATATGCAACAAACACAATTACATCTCAAAAAGAGTAGTGAAAATGTATCAAACTTGTTGGCTGCTATTGAATCATGTCAGCAACCTGTTGTTGAAAATAAAGAAGGTTCTAATTAAACTCAATTATTGTGTTAATCAATTTATTTTAGAAAATACTTTGAAATCAATTGCAAAGTATTCTATTTGAAAAAAGATAAAAGAATGATATTAGTGGTGTACTGGCACCTATAGATCGTGAATTGGTATTTATCACCAACCCCCTACAACATAGACACGAAATTCTATTGATCATCGGGAACGGGTCGAGCTGTCTTTTAGGACCTAACTAGACCAGCAATAGAAGATCTTGATATCGGTTTAATTCCTTGGTAAGTTTTACACTCTCAAGTTTTGCCTTCAACCAATTCACAACATTAAATTGTGGTTTGCTCTCATTTTATATTATTTAAAAAAAATTACACCATTCAAAAGCAGGAGAACTTTTTCATCACACAACACAAAAACAACCTTTTGAACAATTATATTTTAATTGGATTCGGAAGAATTTTACATCACTCTCTTTTGTCCTCAAGAAAAAAAGCATTGCACGACAAGTATTTTGGCATCGTTTTGTGGATAATTATTATTTGGATAGAAAATGTCGAAATCAAAAGCAAAATTAATGTTGGGTAATCCTTCGGATCATGTCGATTTTGAAACAATTGAATCACCCAAGAAACCAATTTTAAAATTGGAAGAACCAGAGGTACCACAAAATATTAGTAAAAAGAAGAGTTTTAATGAGGACAGTGTAAGAATGTAGGTTATTCACTGCAATAATTAAAAGTGATTAATTTTCTCAAGATCTCACGAGAGGTTTGAATATGAAAATGAATTAAGTATAGGACCTAGAGGAATAGACAGAGAAAAGACACCACTCTCTTCTACTGTTATTGAATCAACAATATTCGATGTACCATCAACACTGAACACTACAAATGCTTCCTCTCTGGAAAAAGATTCATCATCACCAAGTGCTGATGATTTTAATTCACTAACAGGATTAATTAGATATGAGGAATTATCTGGATTTGTAAAATTAGGAAGTGGATCATCGGCTTCTGTATTCAAAGTGTACCATCAACCTTCCGAATTTGATATTGGAGTTGGAGCAAGACTTGAGCCTTCTAATTCAGAAAATAAGGATGACCCAGAAAAGAAAAAGACTGTCTATGCCATGAAAAAGATCTATGTAGAAAAACAGTTGGCCAAGTCTATAATACACGAAATTAAAGCTCTCTACACTAACAGAAATACTCACATTATCAAATTAATTGACTCATATTACCGAGAAGGAGCTATAATGATGATTTTGGAATATATGGATTGTGGATCTTTGGAAGATGTCATTAAAATATCTAAAAAGATTCCAGAGAAAATACTCAGCAGAATGACTTATCAAATCTTGAAAGGTTTACAATATATTCATGAGGAATGTTATATTATTCACAGAGATATTAAGCCTGCTAATATTTTACTCAATAGCAAAGGTCTCTGTAAGATTGCAGATTGTAAGTTTCTAAATGATAGCTGTATGATTAATATCTATTATTTCAATTAATAATAATGTAGTTGGTATGAGTGGTTTCTGGATTAAATCAAAATTGGAAGAAATTCAAAAGACAGCCAAATTCGATACATTTTGTGGCACTTATAGTACGTACTAGTCAAAATAACTAATTTATTTAACTTTTACAATGAATAACTAATTTCAGTTTACATGTCTCCTGAAAGAATTAGAGGACAATCACATAGTTTTGATAGCGACATTTGGTCACTTGGCTTGACAATAGCTCAATTAGGTATGGGAATATTCCCATTCACACTCAAACCAGAATTTACAATTTGGTCCATGTTTGAATATTTGGAAGAGACTGGAGCTGAACCATTTCCAATCGATGAAAAGGAATATTCACCTGAATTTAAATCATTTGTTTATCAATGCATGACATTTGATCGTAAGCAAAGACCATCTGCATCTCAACTCGTTTCACACCCATGGATTGAAAAGTACAAGAAGGATGAAGAAAAGATGAGAAAGAGTGTTGAAAAGTGGGTATACAGACGTTACATTGCTGTAAAGAGACACAATAGAAAACCAAAAGAATCTAACGATACAAAAACTGAAAAACGATAAACTATTTCATCAACAATTTTAAATATAGGTGCACCTCTATTCATGTGTGACTTTAAAGTTGAAAAATAGAAAAGAAAGAATTGAACAATAAAATTCGAATTTAAAAAAATTAAAAATGGGCATTCTAGAAAAGATAAAGGGTGAGTTGTTACTTTTGTTTCGGTAATATATTTAATTAATGATGTGATGGAAAATAATGTGATGGATATATTATCACACTGATAATAATTTTGTTGATTTGGAATTTAATTTAAATATATTTATCGGATGATAATCATAGATATTGAAAATGAAATGAACAAAACCCAAAAGAACAAGGCCACTGAATACCACATTGGTCTGTTGAAGGCTAGATTGGCCAGGTGTAAGTATTAACACTCAACAATATGAATATCAACAACAACAACAATCCGATCACATATGGAATGATACAAAATTTCAACTTGATTATTGAATTGATAAATTGATAGTACGTTCACAACTCATTGACTCTGAAAAGAAAGGAGGTGGTGGAGGTGGTGATGGATTTGAAGCCAGAAAAGCAGGTGATGCTCGTGTTGCTTTGATTGGTTTCCCATCTGTTGGTAAATCTACATTGTTGAATAAGATTACAGGAACTGAATCTGAAACTGGTGCCTATGAATTTACTACATTGACTTGTATTCCTGGTGTTATTGAATATAACGGATCAAGAATCCAACTTTTGGATTTGCCTGGTATTATTGAAGGTGCTGCTGAAGGGTATGTTTGTTTATTATCATTATCAATATATTAACAATATTAACAATAATAATAATATTATAACAAATGATAATATGATTACTCTATTGAAAACGGAATGTACTTGAATTATCATCAAAACTATTTGCTGAAATATTTGGATAATTTAAAAATTGATTATATTACTAATGACTTTATGGAAAATAGTAAAGGAAGAGGTAAACAAGTTATTGCTACTGCAAGAACTGCTGATTTGGTTTTGATGATGTTGGATGCCTCAAAGGGTGAAATTCACAAACATCTTTTGGAACAAGAATTGGAAAGTGTTGGTATCAGATTGAACAAACCAAAACCAAACATGTACTTCAAACCACTTAAAACTGGTGGTCTCAGATTTACAACAACTTGTAAACAAACTAAGGGTGTTACTGAAAAGCTTGTTTCTGACATCTTGAGAGAACAAAAGATTCACAATGCTGAAGTTGTTATCAGATACGATGCTGAAATTGATGACTTTATTGATTTGGTGGAAGGTAACAGACAATATATTAAGTGTCTCTGTGTTTACAACAAGGTCGATACCATAACTTTGGAAGAAGTTGACAAGTTGGCCAAGAGGGAAAACTCTGTTGTGATATCATGTAACTGGGATTTGAATTTGGATTACTTGATTGAACAAATTTGGGAACACTTGGGATTGGTTAGAGCTTATACCAAGAAGAGAGGTTGTGCTCCAGATTTCAAAGATCCAGTCGTTTTGAGAGAAGGTTCCACAATTGAAGATATCTGTAACAGCGTACACAAGGACATGAAGAAGAACTTTAAATATGCTATTGTGTGGGGCAAATCGTAAGTTTTTTTACAATATTTTTATTTATTCTATTTTTTTCTCCTATTACTTCTTATATTCCGTTATTCTATAATATGAACACAAATAGAGCTAAACATACACCTCAAAGAGTTGGTTTGAGTCACGAATTGGCAGATGAAGACGTTGTCCAACTTGTTACATCTGGTTAATAATATTGAGCTAGTAATATTTTGTAAAGTAATTTATTTGTTTAATTTTTGAGCTACACTTATTCTCGAGAAGAAGAATGCGAACAAAGTAAATGTTACAGAGCTTAACCAAAAGAATAAGCTAGCGTACATATCCCTCTCCAAATAAAACATTTATTATAAATTTGTATCTAAAATATTCAGTTTCCATTCTAAAGATAAACAATGAACAGATCTTCCATCATCATTTATTCGAACTTGAATGGCAACAAGGTGCTGAGAAGGAAGAATTTCAAAGAATTGCCAGAACTTGTTAATGCAAACTAAATTATTGTTCATCCTGATCATCGTCGACATTACTAAGGAATTCCCTTCTCATAATACATCCATTCTTTTCCAAACAAATTCCAATAGCCATCTCCATCACAAAATCTCCATCACCTTCCTCATAGCACGGATGTCTCTTCTTACAACCATAGTAATAGTATTGATTTCTACATGATTCAAAGAAGGAACCAATTTCTGGATGGATCTTCTTCATGCAATCTAACCTACATGCAACACATTTGGTTGCTTGGTCAGAGCCATGAAATGTTCTTGATCTTTTGGAGAGTTTGAGATTGAGTGGACCTGTAATGTGATATGTGGATGGTTGTTTGTCAATGTAATATTTTGCCTCTGGAGAAATTGGATAAGAAGAGGTTGAGAGTGAAGGTTGGCTTTCGTCCAATTTCTGAATATTTCGAATAAACATGTATGTTTAATAGTACTTACATTGGTCGTAGTGGTACTACTCCTGTTAGAAGCTGTTCATTTGCCAAAACAACAACACTTCTTTTAGAGCTCGATATCATGTTTGCATGTGGACTATTACATGTTGAAGCAGTGGCATTCACACAACACAAACAAAGACAACAAATGCTCAGGCAGAAAATTAAAAAGAGTGTGAGATTAGTTTTCCGTTCTGCCATGTTTTTTTTCATACATCTATATTTGAGATGATTCGTCGAAGTGACAGACTAATCTTGTTGTTTAAAAAAATGTCCTCATTTACTAAAATGTATTTTATAATCAACAGATTGTAACAGACATACCAGAACATGAGAGGGCGTTTCAAAAGTAATGCACGAATCATTTCAATGCAGAGATCATATTTCAAAAACAATTTTGTTTCCTCAATTTCTTAGCAACACTTATTCTGGAGAGGAAGAATGTGGACAAGGTAAATGTTACAGAGCTTAACCAAAGGAATAAACTTGCGTAGATATCCTCACCAAATAAAACATTCATTATAAATTTGTAGCCAAATATTCCAAAGAGAATGGTCATGGAAATGGTGGTGATAATCTCAATTTCTACCAACCATTTACCATACCAACTAGTGTTACTCTTTATCATGTCCAATTCAAAGGTAAAGAAATAATCCTCTTCCTCTCTTGATTTCTTATTGATTTTTTGAGAATTCTTGTCGGATTCTTCATGGATTATGATTTCCTCTCCTGTTAATGGATCAATAATTTTAGAGTGATTATCCTCTTCCTTTCTCTTCCTGATTAAATCCAAAATTTCGGCATGTTTTTGATCGTTGATTGGGAATCTGTACATGAGGAAAAGGCATACTATTGAGGTCAAGCTTGGGAGTAGAGCAGCTTGCACAGATATCGAGTGTTTTCCCATTAGGGTATAAGTTCCACTCTTCAAAGATGTTCTCTCCTCAACAGACAGTCCATAAGTATTGAAATATGATAAAATTCCAAAAGATACAGAGCTAGATATTAAATCAATATATCTTGGTAGGAACGACCAGGTGGCCTCCAAAGAAATTTCCCTTCTCTCTCCAGTTCTCAATTCATCATAATCAAAGACGGTAGTCTTGATACTATCGAGAAGGAATCCGCTAGACCTTCCAGTAATTGTCAGCAAGACAAAGAATGGAAGATAATTCCAAATTTGAGGTTCTGTACTCGAATAATCCACAAACAAGTACACAAAAACACCAATAGGTATCTGAACTAGATATGAAACTAGCCAAGTATTATAATTACCATACTTGGAAGCCATATATTGCCATAGTGGGGAGAATATCATGGCAAATATCATTCCAGTCGTGTTGAGAACTCCAGTCCAAAAATCAAAATTAGCTCCCTCCAAATTCAATACTTTAGTAATGTAGAAAATGTATAGACCATTCCACAATAATCCTCTCAATGTTTCATAACTAAACAAGCAAAGTAGAGCTACAAAGGCTCTATTTTCAAAGCACTTTTTCAATGCAGGAATCCATGAGACTGATTTCTTTTCCTCTGTTTTTTCCTTTTTGAAACTATTCATTTCTCTTGAATTTCGAAAGAAACTCGACATGAATACATAAGATCCAATAATTAGTAAACTTCCAATCATGATATATACTCTTGTAATTTGATTTTCACTCAAAGTCAACGAAGATAATATAAATCTCAGCAGCGATGGCAAGAATGCTCCCAAAACTCCTCCATACATTGAAGCTTGATGTTTCACAGAAAATAAATCCGATCTATCCTTCACATTCCACAATTTACACATTCTCACAATTGATGTATCATATAAAACTCTCAGTGGTACCATATTCTTCAATAATGAACAAATAATAAACCAAATAAATGTGGGAATCATCTCCGATCTATACAATGAAGGTCCCAAAAACAATCCAACAATACTCATCCAATAAATTGGTGCACAAATCATCAAGAGAGTTTGTTGTCCAAGGCTACTTGAATCAATCAAGGTTGCACTGAAGAAATCTGTTATTAAACTTAATGATCGGATGAAGGAATTTACCAATCCAAACCTTGAAGCCTCTATACATGATTTATCCGAATAATATTTACAAATATCTTCCATGTAATATTTAGTCAAGTGCATATCAATATAAACATCGAGAATACTCGTTAGAAATGTGGGAAGGATGGCAATTAATATTTGAGAGTATTTTCCTGAAATTCCTTCTTCTCCTGATGATCCTCCAGGAGTTGTTTCATCACAATGTTTGTTTTCTTTCATTTTTTTTTAATTGAAATAAATATTTTTATTGTAAACTAAATTAATTGATTTCTCGTTGTTTAAAGTCTTTGAAGAAAATTACTCAACTGGAGAAACTTCATGAACTTTTTCAGATTGAGTGGCAACTTCTTTGGTATTTCTTCTTCTATTGTAAATACGGCTGAAAATGAATAGAGAAATAATAACGAGGGCCAAACAAACTACACTGATTGTAACTGTTGCAAAGATAACTTTTGGACTAATCTTCTTGAAGAGAGCAAGGGTAATGTATGGACCAGACATTGCACCTCCAGAGCCTCCCAAAACCATCAAACTGGTCATTAAGCCAGTAATTTCCAAATTCATTACTGATGATGGAATTGAAATGGTTGTTGGATACAAACTGGCAATGGAAAGACCTAACAAGAGACTTGCAACCCACAAAACTGAAATATTGGTAGAGAAAATCCATAATAACGAAACACTAATCGTAATTCCAATAAAGTCAACAAGTAACATGATAAATGGTGGAATGAAATATGAAATTGGAATGGCAATACCTCTGCCAATTGTGAACAACAGCCAAAAACCAGAATTGATCATGTTTGCTTCACTGTCATCTGCCAATTCCATAGCAGTCAAGTATGAATAAATAACGTTACCATAAGTGCTCTCAGCCATACAGTATGATAAAAGAGCCAAAGCAACCAAAATGGTAACAAAAAGCTTGGTAAGGAATACAGTTCTAGAATTATTTGGTTTCTTTGCTTCTCCATGTTCAATACTACCAACAGAAGCAGTGTCATCCTCTTCTCCATCATTGATTGGTTTAACATCGTCAGAGATTTCGTTTCTCTTCATCCACATGTAGACCATGTAAATAATGAACAAACCAATGGAAAGCAAGTACAAGAGACAGACAATAAAGTTAGTTCCCAAAACAGACTTGGAAATGAGTGTTCCTTCAATAAATCCAGCTGGTGTTCCCTCAGTAGAATTTCCAATGGTAGAATTAATAAATGTCACATTATTTTGTAAAATGGATGACAATGATTCAGCACCTTCATCAGCAGGAACTACAACTTGTGAATTATCAACTCCCAAAATACTATTCACAACCAAAACAGTAAATGGTCCAAAGAATAAACCAAGACCTGCAGAAAAGTGGAATAATTGTGAGAATGGTGTGACATTAATCTTCATCTCATTCCAAATACTGAATAATAAAGCTTGAGCACAAATACCTAAATATCCCTGCCCTACACCCCACAGTAAGAAGATTGCACATAGAGACCACAATGAAGAACCAAAAGGCATCAATGCAGATGCAAGAGTCATGATGAGAATGGACACAATAATCAATGCATAATTTGTAAGAGTTTCATAGAGAGTTCTCTTGTGATGATCCTTAATCTTCTTGTCCATAAATTTCTTCATTGCATCCATGACAAATCCTCCAATAAGTGTTGTCACAAGTGCTCCGATACCTCTGATTGTGAAAACAATACCAACTTCAGATCGGTCTGTATTGGTTTGTTTGGCAAAAACATTGATAAGTGATCCTACACTACTAGCTGTTTCATTGTATTGAAATAATGTTGATCAACAGATGATGAAGATGATGAAATAATTTGCCCAAAATGTGAAATGGATAATAATCAATTACATTACTATGAAATTCAACAGTAAAACTTACACGAAATACACATGCACAAAATGGCAAAGTTCAATAACATGGTTTGTAAAAAGGCCTTTGTCAACAAGACTGATTTCATATTTGCTAAAATCTCTTTGGGTGACAATCTCTTCTTTGTATTTGTCATAACTTTCAACTCCGCCACATCATCCTCTTTCAATGGTTCTCTACTGTTGGCAGAACTAGAATTTGAACTTTTTACCAAATCCACATCTTGTAATTCTGTTTCTTGTAGATGGTGATCGTCAATGTGTAGTCTTCCTCCTGTTTCTTCCAGCTGAAGCCTATTATTTTCATATGAATTATCACCTCCGGTATCATCCATCATTGCTGCAGAAAATGAATCTTCATAATCTTCATCATCCACCTTGTTAGAATACTTATTACTTTGAGGAGCCATTCTTTATATATTTGATGTATTATTCTTCTTCTTCCGACTGTTAATAAGTTTTTTCTCGCTCAGTTATAATAATCGTGTTTGAGAGATGTTCGAATGGAGGAGAGTTTGTTTGTGTTGTTTTTTTTGAATTTGTTCAACAGTCTTAAAAGAGTTTTCTTTCTTTTTATGGGGAGAGGGCATACACATCGAATCAGTTATTACAACAATTGTGATACTAAGTTATTGAGTGGGTCAGTGTTAGGAATATTATCCGTATTACTTGAAAGAGTGAGAAAACCAGGTTAAATCAATGTAGTCACACAATGAATGTCCCTACTCGAGGGATAATGAAACGCATTATTTGAATCTCTTGTGTGGTGATTAAGAGTATTAAGAAATGTGGCTAGTGATAATTGATTCTAGTAAGTGATTTAAGGGGAAAGGAGGATATTTCATAACCTGACGTGGGTGATGGCCAGTTTTCTTTATTTGGAAATGGCAGTAGAATACCCAATTTTCTAATAATGTTTTTATGGGTATTTCGAATTTCAATTTACAGTAGAAAGTGAAGAGTATTATTTACAGTTGTTTATTCAATGTCAATGATGATTTTACCCACTGTTCTTTGAGATTGCATTTGTAAGTGAGCATCCTTAGTATTTTCCAATGAGAATGGAATGAGAGGCAATAATTTGTAGGCATCATTTGAAACAACAATGTGATTCAAAAGTAAATTCATATCCTTTGCATTCTTTCCAAGAAATACCATATGATAGGATGGATAGCAGCTGGACATTGATTTGAGTTTGTTTGAGGAAATGTAACAACCAATCTTTACCAAGCTGGAGAAGGTCAAAGTATATTCGTTTGGATTAGGTGTAGAAATGGTTGAGAATGTAACTCCCTTTTCAGCTGATTTACAGTCCAAATGTTGACAAACATCCTCATAGTAATAATATCCGCCAACTGTGTCAATAACAATATCCACATACTTGTCACCATGTGTTTCACTAATCAATTGACAAATACTCTTCATACTATCTGCCAAACCACCAGATGCGTGTGTAGTGTGAGCACCGGCCTTTGCAGAGGTCTTGTTATAATCAATTACGACATCAGCTCCAAGAGAAGTAACAAATTGAGAATTTCTCTCTGAACAAACTGCATAAATCTTGGTGTTGAAATATCTACTCAAGAATTGTTTAGCAACCATTACAGCAATACTACCAGTGCCGCCAGATGCTCCAATAATGAGAATTTTCAAATCCTTCTTTGTACCAGTGAGTGCATCAGAAATCTTTCCAGTCTTGTAGGCACTTTCACCTTCTCTATCTAAAACTTCTCCAATAAGTGGATGTCTTCTATACATTTCCAAAACAGTACATCCTGTGATCAATTATTAATTGAAATTCCAATTATATTTAAACAAGATAAATTTCCAAATTAGTTAAAATAATTAGCTTGAAACTTACCAGCCAATGGAAATGCAGCTGCTTGTTGGTGAGTCAATTGGTCAGGATAGAGTGTCAATTCATCGTCCTCAAACACAGCATACTCAGCATAACTTCCAGTTTTGTTATTTGGCAAGAATCCAGTCACACGATCTCCCACTTTAAATCTATCAACCTTAGCTCCGACTTGCTCCACAACACCAGAACCATCCTTTCCAAGAATTGCTGGGAATTTCATAGATGCAGCCATCTTCATTGCTCCCTTTCTCAACTTGTAATCCACAGGATTGACAGAAGCAGTCTTTAAATTCACAAGAACTTGCTTGGAAGATGAAACTTTAGGTTTTTCAAAATCGGTAACCAATTTAAAATCTGGTTCCTCACAATAATCCTCAATAATCATAGCCTTCATTTTCGTTATTGTATTCAGTAGATTTCTTCTCGTATTATTATTCGTTAAATTCTTCATCAACTAGAGCAAAATTTTCTCCGAAGTTTTTGATGATGGTTAGTGATGAATTCAGTTTTTTTAAAATATGAAATTTCTTTAAAGCGCACTTGCAAGGTTTTACGCTTTTTTTGTTTTAGAAAGAAAAAATGAGCGCGCACCATTTTTTCCATGTCTTTCGAATTCGAAATATTTTGGCCAACAGAGTTCATTTGGCTGAACGTTGTAAAGTTTGGCCGCATTTACTGCCATGGAATATTTTGGTTTAGAATTATTGTAAAGGATAGAGTATAGTTGAATCAATAGAATTTAAGGTCAATGAATAAGGTGATACTTTTATAAGAGCAATTACATAGAAATTGGTTTTAATATGAATATTCAAAGGTAATATTCCAACAATTAATTCTAAAGTTAACGTTAATTTGCTATTTGAAAATATCTGAATTTGTTACAAAATTTTTCATGATTCAAAAAAAATGTCGGAATTTGAGAATGCTAACGACTCTCCTTCAACTTGTTCCTCATCATCAAACTCTAAAAAAAAGAAAAAATCCAACAATAATTCAACGCCATCCTGTGTCCAATGCAAAAGAAATCACAAAAAGTGCGACAAGTTGGAGCCTAAATGTTCCTATTGTGTTTCCAGAAATTTAGAATGTGTGGTTAGTAGTTAATTCCATTACATTTATTTAATTATTCAATAATTAAATATTTAAATAGTATGAAGAACCTAAAAAAAGAGGAAGAGCTTCGGAATTATATCAAGAAAATCTCAAAAAGAAAAAAGAAGGTGATGGAACTTTTGTTGATGAATATTTTGATTTTATATGTGTAGGACATCCAGTTATTAAACGTGGCGTTTTAGAACATTTTCTGAATAATTATCTGGGAAAGATAGAGAACATTTCAAAGAGGAAGATTTCATTGGAGGAAAATGAGTTTATTTCAAATTTGGAAGATGTAAATTGTATTTATGCATTTTACTTGTCGATAAAGGCTATTCATCATCAATTGAGAGCTGAATTGGATTTGGCTGATCAGTATGCAAAGAATGCTGAAGTGGAAATTGGGAAATTGTTTGTGGATCATTCCCAGAATTATTACTTGTATTGTGCATGTCAGCAATTGTCTGCATTTTATAACGGAAAGGGAGATATTCTAAAGAGAAAGATTTACTTGTCAATGGTTGAAAATTTTGTGAGTGAATGCTTGAAAGATACAACTGATATTATATGTAAGAATTTAGAGAGGAGAACTGTCTTTTTGTCCAAGTCAATGGATGAATTGATTAGTGCATTACCTGAGTTTATTGAACACATGCCAAGGATTGTGGAATTGTCTGTAGATCAGAAATTGGATAATTTATTAACAACTGGAACATTAGATTATATGAAAACAGCAAAAGTCACATCTGAAAATTGTATGCTATTCAAACAAGTAATTGATTTTGTATTCAAAGTTGTCGTTTCACTCAAATCAGAACATTTTAAACTATTTAATGATTGTAGAACTGAAAGGTTTACAGAATTTATGCAATTACACATTATTTTCACTTACAATTCTACAAGCTTATCCTTCTACAGAAATATTCCAGAATTGAGGAGTCTAGTCGAGGAAATGGCTCTCAAAATTACACTGTCCACTGAACATGAACTTTTCAAGTAAGTTTATTGCATGTATTCAGCATGTATCTCACATCTTGTATTGAATAACAAAGATACATTTATTCTGATGCTGGGATTATCATCATGTTGGTTAGTGAAATTCACATTGAAATTTGTAAATTAATTGAATCTGGGTTGAGACAAAACAATCTTCCACTCATAACCAATGGTAAATCATTATATGTCGATTATTTTCAAGTTTTGGAAAAGGATTTGCGTGCTCTTCAATCACTCTCTCAGAAATATTTGAGAATCAAAAACAAATGCTCTAATATTGTAAGAGAAATGGAAGAAATATTGGAAAGACAAAAGAATCCACTCATTATCACAATGCCAAATTACAATTCCATACTGCCTCCTCAAGGAGTTTCGAATGGTGCTATTCCTCTTCAACAAAGAGATGAAAGGTTACAATCGGTACTGAGATACCTTCAAGAAATTTCACAAACTGTTTCAGAAAACATTCCTACTTTTAAACCTTCAGAAAGTTTGGGAGATTTGGAGCGGGAATTCTTTGAATTTATTTAAACCAAGATTGCACAAAATTTCCTTCCAGCAAAATTCTAAGGATGAGACAAACACTAATTCAAACCAAGTCAAAATCAAATTCTTCCAACTATTCGAATACAAAAAAGACCGGACAATAAGTTTTAATAAGAAGAATATTAAGATAATACTTTTCAAATCCGAAGAAAGGCTACCCCCAAACCAATTAGAATCAACAACACTACAACGAATGTCCCTTCTTCAAATTGCTATTACCTTCCAGTAACCTTTTATTTGAATGAATTGGAAGTTATTTTGAAGCAAAGCAAAACAAACGTGAAACAACTCCTTGATTTAAAAATAATTAATAATAATTTATTAAAAAAATCAAAAAGAACAGCATTTTAAACCAACATCATCATCATGAAATATAAGGAAGACCCAGAAAATACCTTTGAAAAGAGACAAGCTGAAGCCTCTAGAATTAGACAACGTTACTCTGATCGTATTCCAGTCATTTGCGAAAAGGCTGATAAATCAAATTTCCCAGATATTGATAAGAAGAAATATTTAGTTCCTGCCGATCTTACAGTGGCACAATTTGTGTATATTATTCGTAAACGTATCAAGATTGATTCAACAACAAATATTTTCATTTTCGTTAATAACGTTCTTCCACCAAGCGCCACACTGATGAGTCAACTTTATGAAGAACAAAAGGACGATGATGGTTTCTTGTATGTAACCTACAATGGAGAAAACACCTTTGGTGAAATCTAAATTTCTAATGATATTGTGTGTTGTTTTCATCATCAGATATATTAGTACCTACTACCACCATCACACACGATTCGATAATTACTCATTGTCGAACAGTTTTTAATAGTTGTCGCTATTCAGCTTGTAAATTTTACTTGTATAAAAACTTTGATTAATACTTTATGTAAATATATATATTGGAGTATTATCATTTTGTAGTATTATGATGAATGATATTAGAATGGATCATTGTTTTAGAAATGATGATCATCATTCTATTTCAAACTTTCCGACATTGTCTCCACTTTTCAGGTAATTCAAATGTTCCAAAATTCTTTGATTCTTCTTCAAGGAGTGATAACAAATTTGAAGGAATTGATTAATAATTGATTCATATCATCACCAGATGTTTCTGGATGTGCAGAGAATAACAAGACTCTTCCCTTATCACCCTCAAATCGTCCACATACTGAGGCAGCACTTCCAATCATGAATCCCTTCTGAACAGCTGGATCGACAGTAAACTCATTAGTATATTCACATAATACCTGACATTTAGATGAATCTGTCACATGTAATATTGGACCATTTCTGTAAAACATGGATGCTTCATCCCTCTTCTCTCCGAATATTTCCTTTCCAATTTCTGTAAATTTAACATATGATGTTCCAAATCCTCTCTTCCAATTGTGTACTTCTCTATCTTTAATAATAAATCCCTATAATTTGTAACAATATTCCATCAATCGATTAAATAATTAAAAATTATTATAAAATTACCTCCAAAATATCCAAAGTTTTTGGCATAAATTCCTGTAATTTCGGATAACCTTCCATAGTTTCCATAGCCATTGCACAATAAGCTCCAGCACACGATCCAACATATCCCTTCAATGGAAGAGACAAGAATTCCTTCACTCTCCTCATACCTTCCTCTTCGCCCATCAACTTGACGTGTTGAGCAGGATCCCCTCCCGGCATGAACAATATATCAAATCCATCCCGAACCAGACAACCATCCCGAATCATTTGACCACTCACTTGCGCAATGGAAAAATCAGCCTTTAATTTCTCTACAAATTTCTTCCAGGTAACATCCTTTGCATCGAGTGCTTCACCCATATAGTAGGCTATTTTGGGTGCATTCGAGGTTGTGAGAAGAAATTGTGTATGATTTTGTGAGAGGGTTGCAATACGTTTACTCAACAATTCTTCCAAACTGGCCATTTTTTTTAATTTTTAAATAATTAATTTTAAATAATACTTTACAAAATGTTCATAATCTATTGAAAATTGCTGATATATGGATAACAAACATATTATACAATGCCATTTTATCCAATCCATTCCAACCAGTAGTGTTAAATTTTTTACAATAACTAGCTTAAATGTGCGCTCTCCAGCTATCAACCTCACACTACAGTTAGTTCTCCACCATCTCAATAGGTCGTTTTACAGGGTTGATGATTCGATGTAGAATATCAGATCAAAAAAAAAGCCACTAAGCATATCACTGTAGATCTGTGTGACTGTAGTTGGTTTATTTGTATTATTGAAACATGAAGGGAAAAGAGGGTGGTAAGAGGGCCGTTGGGGTGTTGGTTCTGTTCTTGATGAGCATCATACTGATGCTGATGATTTGCATGGTTGAGGGTGCTGTTGTATCAGATGAGAATGAGTACGCATGTAAATTATTAGATATTAGAATGCGAAGTAAGCATGAAATGAAGAAAATGATTAGAGCTAATAGGGTTCTTAATAGATTGATTAAAAACATTCACTCGGGAAGTAAGAATACCTTGTTGAAGAATCAGTACGCTTTAGATTTACAACAATTGAAGGATGACATTAAAAAGGAAAAGAAATGGCTTGGTATGTCAAAAAGGGAGCTTTCTCAAATGTGTAATTTATGGACTACCAACAAAAAGCAAAATACTGAAATTAAGCAGGATGCTAGTTTGAAATCTGAACCAATTCCAGAGAAACCTTCAGAAAAATCAATTGAAAATGAATCAAAGTCATCTGAACCAACTTCTGAACCTCTTCCAAAGGAAGAATCTGAAAAATCAAATGATGGACCTGTTTCAGAACAACAACCTGTTAAGAATGAAGAGAATCAAAATCCTTCAACAGCATCACAACCAAAGGAAGAAAAAGCAACTGCTGAACCAGAAATTGCGCTTTCACCTTCACAGGAAACAAGCTCTTCTCAAACAGAACCTCTTCCAAGGGAAAGAGGTTCAGCTACTGACGATAGTAGTAGTAATTCCCAGGCCAATGAGAGTACAGATTCAGTTAACGAGGAAAAGCATATTCCTCCACCAAGAGAAGTTCCACCAGCTCAATCCTCACAATCAGAAGAAGAGGTCAGCAAAAATGTTGACGAAAGTGGAATGCCTCTTCCTCCAATGATTAATCCAGAGCCTCTTCAACCAAATATCATCAACTTGGGAGAAAATGAAGCACCAATTAATTCCCAGACAAGTGACAGCACAAATTTAGAGAAAGAGGATGAAAAGCCTATTTCTCCACCAGGAGAAGTTCCACAACAATCAGAAGAGGAGGTCAGCAAAACGGTTGACGAAAGTGGAATGCCTCTTCCTCCAAACACAAGAATGGATACTCTGTCTACTAAACCAAGTGTTTCAATTGAATCTCCAACAAATGACCAAGTTGAATCTGGAAATCAAAACATTAAGGATACAAGTTCATTAAATGCTCCTTCTTACTCAAATGACGAAGACAAGGGTGATGAAAACAAAGATCAATCAGTAAGTGATAACAGCGAAGAGTCAAATGAGTCCAATAATCAAGAACGTGAACAATCCCTCACCAATGAATTCGGTCTTGAAGGAGATGAAAGGTTCATGGTTCGTAGAGAAAGCGAAAAAGTTGAATTATACCAAGATCATGAATCAGAAGTGCCAGAAGTTGACTATGATATCGATCTTGAAAATACCAGAGAAGTTAACCATTGAAAGTCAGGCATTCGTGGCAGACATTAATTCCATTTTCAATTCACCTCTTTATTCTAATACAGATGGAATCTTATCAAAACCCATAACATGCTCATAGAATAAAGAATCGAATCGTTGTTGGAGTGAGTTCTTTTCTTCTTGTGTAATGCAATCAATCTTTCTCTTCTCTAGTGAAAGAATCTTGTCTGCAAAAACTTTTTCTTCCATTCTAAGAAACATGAGCCAATCGTCTAATACTGGAATTCTAGGTTGTTTAGTCCATTGCCCAGAACTAGCCTTCTTTCTATCAATCAAATAATTCAATTGTTCAAGAGCTTGGGTTTGCTTATCAAAGAAATTGAACTGTATTGGATACTTATCCTTTTCAGGATATTCCAAATATTCCTTTTGTTTTTCCAATGTTTCAGAAAGTAGAAGATTAACATCGAAAGGTGGTACAGGTATAATTGGAGTAATCTTTTCTACAGTTTGTCCATTTTTCCAAGCTGAAAAGTGAGAAAGTTTGGCATGCTCAACCCACAATAAACATCTCATTACGTAAATGTACTTTTTTCTATTCACTTCTGCTTTGTTTCTTAAATAATCACAATAATTATCCTTTGCAATATTCAAATAGTGATATACTATATTTCCAAATATGTAAAATATAAATTATTCAAAACATCAATTGTGTAAATAAAAAGCAAATGAAAGAACATACCAATTGTCTTTAAATTAAAATAATAAACATTCCAAAATTCTTTCATTTCTTTCAACCACTTTTCATCATAACAATAATAAATAATTTCACTCTGAACCATCCATTCCATTGCTGTAGGATTTGATTTTGCAGTATAGCTCAACATTTTCCTAAATTCATATCCAACAAAATCAATCTCAGTTTCATCTCCTTTCAAATGATCCAATTTAATCATCACCTTCTTTCTAATTTCCAAATCAACTTCATCTCTAACTCTCAAATACCAATCAACTGGATGAACATATACAAATCTAACATCATAATCACTAGAATCACTCCGATTGATCATGAATCGACATGGCTCTCGATCCAGCATCACAAACATACAAAATTTTTACTCGATTTTCCTTTTCAATCTCCGATAAGAGTTTCAATATTTGTGGAAGGACATTGGAGGCATGAGGAGAATTAAATTGTGTAACTCTATGATAGGATGTTGTGCTTGATGCCAAATCGCTCATTTTTTTTTATAAAATTCTATTATAAAATTCTATTTTTATATTCAAATTTAAATATGAACTTCTATTGTGCATTAAAAATAAATTGTTATTGTAAAAAGTGCAACAATTCCAAAAAAATGTCTCTACAACCATCTTTATCCAATCAAGATGTAAAAAATATTTCTGATGGAAATCTTAACAATGAATTGGTAGCATTGAATGATGTGGGATTGAACTCCGATCAAATATTTCAACTCCTGATGGCTAGGGAACGTACTAAGCATTTACACTTGGAATTGGAAATACTGGATCGGAAGAGAAAATATTCAAATATTTGTGATGAAGCAAAGTTAAAAAATTCAAAGAAGAAACATCGGCAAAATGTGATGGAAAATGCCTGTGATGATGTAATTGCTGTCATTCTATCCTATTTGCCAAATTTGGAGGGTTTTAAGCTTTTACTTGTTTCTAAACAATTTTATAGAGCAGTTGGACATTTGAGGCAATTCCATTATTATTTAGATGAGAATAGACCAGATTTGATTGAGTTTGTAAAATCTAAATATTTCAACTCTATGGAAAATGCAATAATAACATCTTCTGAATATGACAGACCTGCTGATATATTCAACAATTTGGAAATTTAAAAAGCCTAAAGCTCTGTTTGCAATCTGAACTCTTATTCTCAGATTTGGATAATGTAAACATTATGAATATTAAACGTTTGGATTTTTGGATGACAGGAGAGGGAAGAATGTATCTGGATTCACACTTGTTGCACAATTTAACATCACTGACAATTAGAGGTACTAAACGCTTGAATAATGTAGCTCTATACGTCAACAGATATACTAATTGTTTGAGGAGTTTGGAGTTGGAAAATATGGATGCGAGTGGAATTTCTTACATTGCATCATTACCAGTATTAGAATATTTGACATTGCACAATTTGACTGCCACTTGTTCTTTTGCAGAGTTGTTCGAGATTTTTGAATGTCCATCCCTGAGATATTGTACTATTGATGAGGGAGACTGGTTCGAATTGCGTAGTGAGAAGGAAAATGAGGAAATCAATATCGAATGTCCAAATTTAGTATCATTAACTTTTGATTGTTCATCCTTTGCTACCGATCTTGTTTGTAGGTTCAAAATGCCAATGTTAGAAAGTTTAACACTGTTTCAAATATCGAATAAGGGAGTTTTATCACTTTCAGAGAATGAAACATTGAGTAATATGACATATTTAGAATTTTTGAGTCAAGTTCGTGATATTGATGAAATTATGCAATCCAACTATATTAGCAATCTCCAAATATTACTCATAAATGGAAAAGTCAAACTAGAACACGGTTCTGACCATTTGGTTAGTGTCATTAATTCGACCGCAAAATCTCTTGAATGTTTGGAAATTCACAAAGCCAATAGTTGCTTGAATGGGTTCAAGTTATTTTATTCAGATTCCCAATACTTTTCCAACCTTAATACTTTACACTTGTCCATGCCATCAACAATATCAGATTTAGAATATCTTGCCAAATCAAATATTCTCGTAAATTTACGAGATCTTTCAGTTTATAATGAAGGTGATGAAATTGATGAGGAGCAAGTGGTTGATATTGATTTTGTTGAAATATTGGCAAAGAATGAAACCTTCAAGAATTTGAATCGTTTGGGATATTACTTTTCTGATGATGATATTGATTATTTATGGAATAATTTTAATGCAGAAACAAATGAAACAGTACTGAAATTATTGAGAAATATTGGTATCAAGGAAAGCTCATTGATTACTTCTTTTGGATTTAAAAAATTGAGAAAATGGAATGAAATGAATTGGTATTGCATAAGTGATGAAGATGAATAAAATACCGCTCCATTTCTATAGAGCAAATTGCTTGTCTCCTTCCATCAGAATTTGATAGATAATAAGAAATAACTTTATTGATCAATTTATCATCAAATAATTGCAACTTTTGATCAATCTTTGAAATTGAATCTTGCAATTCCAGAAGAAAAAAATGAAACTGTTGGAATTACCTGCAGAACTCTTCATTCAACATGTGTTTTGCTTCTTGAAAGAAAACCACCATTTATTTAATTTGAGATTGGTTTCAACACACTTTTTCGAATGGGTGAATAATTATCTGATCCACAACAAGACAACCTTTACAATTCGTTCCTCAGCCACCGATCGGATTTTGTGTGAAATAATTGACAATTATTTGATCAAATTGGAAAATTTGACAAGAATTGATTGTAATTTTTTCGAGGGAAAATTAAATAATATTCGGGTTGATGGTAAGTTGAGTGAATTTTCTTGCAAGAATTTTAATAATTTCAAGGTTTTGGATTGGTTGAAATTGGAAAGTTGAAGAAAGTTGAAGAATTAAAATTTGGGAAGGGTTTGTTGAATAATTGTGCAGGTTTTATTTCCAAATGGATTTCTAATAAGAGCCCAATATTGGAAACTTTACAAAGTTTATCAGTTTGTGATTTGGAATTGGATAGTTTTCAATTTTTCAATGAATTTCAAAATCTCAAAAAACTTGAAATATCTTTCACTTACCTGGGCCATTCATATTATAAAGATGATTTGAGTTGCACGAAAATGAACTTTCCTAGATCACTAGAATGCCTTTCCTTTGAAACTGTGATGATAACTGATAAGGTTGTTTCACAATTTACAGAGCAGTGTGAGAATTTAACAGAATTGAAATTTATACCGTATAATGACAAAGCAGCCAAGATGGCACTTTCAAAATATTCTAAAACAATTAAGAAAATGGAATTGGTTTATGATTATAATTATAAGAATGATTATGCAATCCATGGTCCTTTCTATTCAGTATTCGAAAAATCAAACTCATTTCCAAACTTGAAGACTCTCGAATTGATTTGGAATTTCACAACGAGTCAAACTTTCACAAACTGGCACATGAATTTGAGTAATCTTGCACCAACTCTTGAAAATCTAACAATCAACACACTTTCAATATCAAATGCTAGTCGTGTGATTGATCCATTATTGAATTGTTTGAGCAAGCTGTCTAATTTAGCAACTTTACAATTGAACTTTAAGGAATCCTTACATGTTATTCTCACAGACATGGAAATACTTGCCAAATTACATGAAAATCTTTCTCTGCATTCTTTAACAATCGGAAATTTTGATTGTGATGACTATATTGATATTGTCAAGTCTTTCATTACAAAAGATTTGAAAAAGCTGAGTTGGAACTATGGGAAGAATGCCATTGATAATGTAGAATTTGAATGTGAAAACTTGGTGGAATTGGTGGTAAATGGTGAAGATAAATCCACAAATACTTTTATTCGAAAGCAATTAGAATCAATGAAAGAATGCAAATTGGAAAAGCTCCATTCAAATAATAGTTGTGCATCATTGGTTGATATGCTGCCACAGGATACTATGAAGTATCTCCAGTTGGAACTGAATAATGGAAACATTCATCACTTCTCCAAATTGACAAATTTCTCCAATTTACATAGTTTAATTTTGCATGTTCCTGAAATGATTAATGATTATTCTCAATGTAAGCTCCCAAAATTTCTACTCACCATCAAATTTAGTGGAGAAATAACTGGTATGGAACGTGGATTCTCTGACATGTTACTATCAGCAGTCAATTTACAAAAACTTTCATTTGAAAATTCAAAATTACAAGATGGGTTCTTTGAGAAAATTATACCAATGTCTTATCAATTGGACGATCTCATTGTTATATACAATACTGATCTCACATTAGAAACTATTGAACATTTGAAAAAGTTTACGAATTGTAGGGTTTTGCTTTGGGATTGCTTCAGTGATTCAGTACTAGGTTCACAATTCTCCATATTTTGTCAGGAAACACCAAAGGTTTGCATAATACGAAAGACTCAAAAAATGGATAAGCGCAATCTTTTATATCCTAAACTTGACTATACGAAAATTGACTCAGTAGTGTCAGCTGTGAAGGAAAGAGTGAAATCACAAGATATGAAAGAAGCATATGTAATTATTATTGGCCTTTTTCACCATTTTGGAAACCAAATTGAAGATATTCCAAATCTAGACGAAATTTGCAAACTTTTCCTCAAATCTTACAGATATGATTCATACCTTAGGGATGCCACTTCAATTCTCCCAGTAATTAACAAGATGTGGAATGAAAAGAAAATTGAATTCACCAAGGTTGAAATTGGATATTTGGAGAACATTTCCAGAAGATCCTCAATAGCTTTTTGCCAGTTTGCACCAATTTTACTTGATTTGGGATACTACTCTACAGTTATTGAGACTCTTAGTTATTTAATGCTGAAAAATGACATTCCAGATGAGACGAGTGCCATTATCGAAAGACTGTTTACTGATTTTATCAGTGGAGAACAGGATTTAACATCATTCTCTGGGTTCGATATTGTGAAAATTGCAAAAGGAGCTCTAAAACATTTCATTCCAGCCAAGAAGATAATGAATAGTTTTATTGAGTTTCTAATTGGGCATGAATTTTACAAACACTCACACAAGACAATTCAGGTTCTTAAACCTAGTACTGAGACATCACCAATTCTTGAGAAAGATTTGGAATATTTCACAAATTTGTTTAATAGAAAGGAATTTATATTGAATGAAGTGTTGGTTAAAGTTCCCTTGCTTGATCAATATTTGAGAAATGAAGAGTATACAAGCACAACTTTTAATGCACTAGGATACGAATGGTGTATTGAGTTTATTCCAAATCCTAAATACGTGCTATATTCCACTAAAGACAGTTTCAAAATTAATCTACAACAAACTAAACCAGAAACTAAGCAAAGGGGAATGGTGGATATTGTCATGTGTAATTATGATTTCGAACCCCAAACATACTTTTCCAATAGCAGAAAAATTAATTGGAATGGAAGGGTCATGAGCTATCATGTAAAAAAGAAATTCTTAGAACCTTATTCAAGAAATGATGATTTTCTAGTTTACAAATTTGTGGTAGGATTGAGAAATTTACAATTCGAACCAATTCAAGATTTTAATGAGGAAATTATTCATAATGGACGAAAGGACCTTTCTTCAACCAATTATCCTTCATTTATTTACACATTGGCAAACAAGTTCCCAACCCTTATCCAAACATGTGTCATTCGTGTCTGTATGAAAACTCATGAAACTTGGATATTTGGAGATCAATTCGAAGTTTTTGGATTTAAATTTGCACTTGGAATTTATATGAATGAAAAGAGTGGCGGCACTACTGAGCTGTTAGAAAACAAAACTCTCCAGGATACAATCAAATTAACTCTATGTTCCTTTGACTACAACTCTATTAGCAATAATGTTTGCCTTGTGAATCTCAAAGCCTTCTCCTCCAATTCAGATTTTCTTCCAGAGTCAACACGTCGTAAGAGAATTCAGTTAGACAATATGTATAATTCCATGATGTTGCCAATTAATGGTAAATACTTTAAGCCTCGAGTGGTTGAAATGAATGGTAAATCTTACTTGGAATATGTGATTAATATTGGCTTGTCATTAAGGTGTTTTTGTAAGCATTTTCCAACACTCTATTCAGAAGATCCAGAAACATTAGAAGCTCAAAAAAAGGAAGAACAAGATATTGAGGATGACCAGGAAGTTGACCAAGAGGATGATGATATTGAGGAACCTGAGGAATATTTTGGAGAGAAGGAAAAGGAATCTCATCAACACGGCAGGCAAGAGGATGATCAACATTATCCCACAACTGTGAAAACAACCAAAAAAGAGGAGGAACAGGATGATACTATATGGACCATTCCGTTCTTAATCTGTTTTGTGATTAACCTACTTGGAAAGCTTAGATCGCTCCTTAAATCAAACTGATTTATTCTAAATGCTCTCACAAAAATAAACTCACCATCTCAGTCTCCCTTCCTCAATAGTAAATTCTGCTGTTGTTATTGTACATTGTTGTAAAAAAATGAAATATGTCAAAAGGAATTGCCAGCGGTGGGGTTCGAACCCACGAACCCATTCGGGATAAGATCTTAAGTCTTACGCATTTGACCACTCTGCTACGCGGGCTGGTGATTAAGATAGTATTAAGGCCAAATCGTGCAAGCAAGGAATTTAACCAGCACTTGTTAGTGGTACTACATACGCTTGCGAGCTGACTTAGCTGGTATTATAATTCTTGTAGTGTTGCGTTTATTCTTGTAAGAAATGGTTACTTATGGTGACTGAATCCAGTAAAGGCGTTCAATTGATTTTTAGGTGATTCTGCTGGAATGTTGAATTGATTCTTCTTTTTGAGATAGAATAAGGCTAGCCACTCACTAAACAAAACATCATTATCTCTGTCTTTGAACTTTTTAATCCAAGCGTGTGAGAGCATTTCACGAGCAAATGGTCTCTTCTGTTGCTCATATTCACAACACTTCTTTACAAAATTTTTAAATTCTTCACTCAGAACCTTCTCAGAATTTTTTCCAAACTTGTGATTATTTACAGCATTCATTATAATTTCTGGTATTTGATAGAGGTTGTCTCTATTACTATCAGTAATGTCCATATCTATGAGAGGGTGACTTCCAACTATGAGCTCTACAGCCATCACTCCCAGACTCCAAATATCACTTGTATAGTTGTAATTATCCTCTAAAAGTCTTTCTGGAGATCTATAGATAAATGTTCCATTCACTGTCTTGAAAAATGTAGAACCAGTCTCCAATTTCTTGTGTCCACAGAGTCCAAAGTCTCCAATTTTAATCTCAGCCTTCTTAATTGTCTTGTCATAGTTTACAAGAATATTTTCAGGTTTGATGTCTCTGTGAATGACATGATTTTGTTGCAAATGGTCCAATCCAATTAAAACCTTTTCTGCAATAACTGATAATATTCTCTCAGTGATATTTTCCACTGGCACTACCTTTAAGATATCTCTCAAACTTCCACAATTACAATAATCCAATAGCATATAAAAACATAAATTTCTATAGTAACATTCATGAACCTTGATCAATGACAAGTGATCACAAAAGTAAATGGCTGCAAACTCGGCCCATTCCATCTTTTGAGATAATTCCAAATGATTACTATCTTGATAGATCATTTTGAGAGCATACTTCTTTCCAGTAACTTTATGTTTTGCAACTACAACATGTCCAAAACTTCCACTTCCCACATATTTTCCTACTAGCTCCAAATCATCATAGGGTATATTAATATGACCTTCACACATTTCTCCAGGCATTAACCCATTAGGTCCAACTGTAAAGATTAGTTTTTTACCAACTTTACTTCCTTGTACTGTATACAAAATTGTATTAAAATAATTAAAGATGACGATTAATTATATAATTAATATTGATACATACTAACAAGAGGTTGATCATTCTGATCAAAAGGTGATGCCAAGAAGGGAATTGTTGGCGATGAAATAAGACCAGTATTAATTAATAAGAAATCATAGAAAGAAGAAGGTTGAGATGAATTACGTGAAGCATCCGAATTTACATCACTATTAATACAACTACTATTCGGATAAGAACTTTGTACAGAAGGTTGATTTGTTACTTCACTAGCAAAATTACTATTCAAAGGTTGTGCAAAATTAGCAGAAAATGTATCAATAGAATAGGGTTTCCATGGTGTAATACCATTATTTACTATTGCTGTTGTATTATTATTATTTGTATTTGTATTCGTATTATTAGTAGTGGTAGTTGTTGTTGTATTATTATTACTTGATGATGATGGTAAGCCAGTTTTTGAAGTACATGGCTCGGAAGAATTTACAAAGGAGAGAAAATCTTTAGTGTGCATTGTCTTTATCTACTTGTGATGATCTCTCTTTTTTCTAGAAGGATCTTGAGAGATAGAGTTTCATGCAGAAGAAATTAAATAAATCTAGTTGCAACTTTGTTCTATTTTTTTGTGATGTTTTGTAATTTCAAGGAAAGGAAATGGGAGAAATATTCGGAATAATAATTTTGGAAAGGAATTTGAAAAGTTTAATTGAAATTATAGTGTAAAATAGTGTAAAGTACGTTTTGATCAATTTTAATTTACAAATTGTCTATTGAATGTTGAGTATTCAATTTATTGTGGTGTCTTGTTCCTTTCCTTCTCTCTTTCACACAATAGACATGGAACAGATTAATACCAATACAATCAATGAACAAATCAAAACGAATTGAATGGCAAGCAATAATATTATTTTCAAATCCAAAGTTCAACTTTTACACTTATCAAAAATTTCATTCCACCATAGTCAAATGAAACGAAAGTGAATCGATTTGATTTCAAGATCTGTGTTCCATCCAAAAAGCTTCTGAAAAATCATATTTCCAAGGTGGTGGTGTGAATTTCATATCTTCATACATTATTCAAGCAATATCTAAAGTATAAATCTGATGTTTCATAACATTATTTTCCCTATAAGAATATTATTATCATTAAAACATTCAACGTTGGTTCACTTGGCCGATAAAGGTTGGTGTTGATATTGTATGTATGTTAAAATGTTTTCAGTTACATGTAAGGCGGCTTAGCACAGTGGTAGTGCATCAGTCTTGTAGGCAGTAATGCTGAGATAACTGAGGGTCGAGGGTTCAATTCCCTCAGTCGCCTTTTAATTATCTGGTGTTTAGCAACCTGGTTTCCTTTTCCCAAAACAATGATTTCATTTCCTTTATTACAACAATTTTATGAAGGTTATTTTACTTTAAAAATACAATTGTTTTTATTCTCCAGAGAATTTAGATAACACCCTTGTACTTCATGTCAGATCCCATAATGTGATCAACCAACCATTGTCTGATGAATTGCATTTCAGCATCACCAACTGAGGTCAAACCCAAAGCATCTTGAACAAACTTGTCGTGAATTTCCTTGTGAGCAGCAGATTCAGACCAAGCGTGCTTGGCAAACAAATCTTCTTCAGTCTTGAAGTGCATAACAACATAGTCCAACAAAGTCTTCAAAGTGGTACCACAAGTTCTGTTGGCGTCCAAAGCATTGATCAATTCGAAAAGCTTCTTATGTTGCTCATTGATTTCAGCGTTTCCAACGCAGAAGGAATCGTCGTATTGGTATGGAGATGGGATTGGGAAAGACATTTTTTTGTTTGTTTGCTTGTGTGTGAAATAAAGTTAATCTTTGGTTGAGTATTTAAGGCTCTGACCACAACATAAAATTGCCCATATTTGGACAATTTTAACATTGTGCGCTTAATGGAATTATTCAAAATAATGAGGTCAAAGCTTTAAGGCCACGCATTGCGTGTCGTGTTACAAAAAAGCTTACTAGAGTGAGCATGTTCATGAACAGATTGTTGAAGGTTCGTTGGTTGAGTTGATAACGCTGCGACCCTATTTATGACCTATTTCGGATTGGTATTGATACAGTGTTTACAATTAATTGTAATAAGGGTCACTCTAGTTGATCAATTAATGTTCCTCCAATCGATTGGATAATCAATCAATATCCATGCTCTTATTGTATAAAATGTAGTGGGTATCAATAATAATGTCTCTCTAAGAAGGAGAGATTTATTTCTTCTTTGTGTGTAACAATCAATGAATGGAGATGAACTTGGTGGTAGATGGCTACACATTAAATGATAAAGAGGAAACTTAATTCATCTTTAGTAAAAGGAAACACCACAGACATCTGAACCACTAAGGGAAATATCAAAATCAATACCAGAGTAATTTTTCATTTCATCCAAAATCTTGCAATATGCTGAAAACTTTTCCTCAAATACAGTATCAAGAGCTTCCATCTTTTCATCACTGGCATAGTGACGAATGGCAGAACAAATATCCAGCACTGTATCTACGTTATTATCAATAATTTCAAAGAGCTCGCTTCTCTTCTTGATATCAAAAACTTGGTCAAGTGTTTCAGGTGTTGTGGTATGCTCAAAATTGGTGATATTCTTGTTGGATGGTTTCATCGAGTATAGGCTATATTCACTAGTGGAGGAGAAGGATGTGATTGGAGAAAAGTTAGAGGAAATGTGGTGATTAATGGTGGTGGATGGTTTGGTAGAGGAGGAACGTTGTTGCTGCTTACTGGCAGCAGATTTGAGTTGGGTGTATGATCTTGTACTCGATAATTCTATAGCAGCAGACTCTCTGATTGTATCTAGGATTATATTAATGTTTAAAGAATGCTTTTTACACATTCTCTTTGCTGAGGTAATGACAAAGTCAATCAAATCTTCAATGGCATTGATGATTTCATTCTCAGATTCACAGACCTTATTTAAAAATTGAAGAACAGAGAAAGGTGAGGCAGTATTCACTTGATCACATGTTGACCAAAAGGTTGTTGACTCTGTAATGATATCTTCCAATTGCCAAGATAAATCTTCATGGACAATTCTATCACAAACACGTTGGATGGCCAAGGTCTTTTCTTCAAGTTGTAATTTGAGCTTTTGAAGAAGGCAAGCCTTTTCAGTGACAATTCTCAGATTTTCACTCAAGCTTCTAGCTGTAATGATATTGACTTGTTCAGAGTTGAGTAAGAGTTTGGCTCTTCTCTTGATGAACTTGTTCTTGAATCTTTGCTTATTCTTTTCGAATTCCTCACAATCATCAATGTCCATATCATCTTGATGAAGTATGCTTTGATTCATGAAAAATCCGTCATTAGCTTTGAATGAGCAAGCCAATTCGGAAATAGCAGCAGGTCTATTAATCTCTTGCTTGAGAATATTCTTCTTTGGTGTGGTAGTAACTTTCTTTAGGGTGACCATTGGTTGTTCTTGTTGTTGATGTCTAGCCTTGTTACCACCAATTGGCATTCTTACAAATTGGAGTTGATTAGAAAAGTGGTTCAAATCATTTCTGATGGAAACTGCTTGAAGCATCTTGTCGCCTTGTGTTGATTCTCTGCTATTAATATCAGGCTTAACCAAAGTTGTCTTTTCGATTGACTTGGTTTCTTCTTCTTCTTGATCGTCTCTGAACAATAAAGAATGATCAATGATATGTAGAGTCGATGTATTGTTTGACCTGACACTCTCCTTTGGTAATATTGGTGATGGTAGGAAAGTACAATCGTCAAGTAGAGGATTATTCTCAATTCCTGTTTCAGCAGCAGTATGAGTGATGATACTCGAGCAAAACACAGCAGATGTAGTGCCTCGAGATGATGTTTGTTTTTTTTCAGGCTGGAATTTTGCACTTTCTTGCACTTCTTCCATACAACTTTTAAAGTCTTGCAGCTTATCATTGCTTGATGTACAACTTCTCGACCCATCAAGATTGATTTCAAATGTAGAATTTTTTGGAACACATCGTGCGGTATCAATTTGATGTGATGGATCACAGTGATCAGTATGGATTTTCTCTAACTTGTTATTTTCATAATTGGTGGATGCAATAGTATGTTGATGGTCTATTATTGATAAATACCTTGCAGAGTCCTTACTAGTGGAAGATTTGCTAATGTTATTGTAGCTTTTGTCAGTCTCGATTTGGCTCTTGGTAAAATTGCCTTGATGATCTCTTTGTGGTGAATTCAAAAATGGAGGTGAAATTGGGTTGACTGGTTTGATTGTCTCTTCCTTATTATTGGAAAATTGTTGTGGTTGAATGGTAGTATTAAACCACGTTGTGTTGGATGATGAATTGTTTTGATATGGAATACCCTCCTCGAGTATTCTCAAATCTTCTTCATTGACGCTTAATTCAAAAATGGCTTTCTTCTCTCTATTATTACAATGACCACTGGTATTGTGACGATTAAAGTGATGATTGGCCATGAAATTGTCCTCTCTCACATACGAGCAAGAATAATTTTCATTTAAATGACTCTTGTCATTGAGAAATGGATTATCAATCTTAAAACTGTGACAAGCTTTTGGCTTGGACCACGATGATTTGGTAGATGAAAGTGCCTCACTTGACTTGGTCCTGCCACTACTCAAAGTGTTACATCCTGTTGTACTCTTATTAGTAGATTGATGGGAGGAATAATCATCGGTCAGAAGGGGAGATTTCTTGGAAATGGTACTCGTACTAAGCTTTGAAACTGGTGTTGCAGAATCTGAAGTCATAACTTCATACTGTTGATGATACGAGGATGGTGTTGTTGGAGATCCAAAGCAATCATCTTCCAAATCCTCAGTACTTGCTGTCGTGTTATTACTTATAAAAGTTACAGTGTTTGCTGCAACATTTGGTGAATACTTTTGAGAGATGGCTCTGCGAAGTAAACTATTGTTACCACTCGTTTGAGTATGGTTATTGATTTGAGATGATGACTTGAATTGACCCCTCAATTCGTTATTGAATGAACCAAAGGGTGCTTGGGCAAATTTGGTAGTGTTTGAAATTGGTGGATTTTGAGGGCAAGAGTTCTTCTTTAACATGTCGGCTTGCTGGCCTCCCAAGTTTGAATGGGGAGTATAGAACACTGAAGCATCCTCAGTTGTTGAATAATCAGTAGAATAGAGACTAGTATCGATTAATTTTCTTCCGATCAGATTGTTTAGTGCTGTGTTTGGAGTTCTCGTTGATTCATTGTGTAATTGTTGTTGGAAAGGTGTTGTTGAAGTGGTTTCAAAATTGTATTGAGTCTTATTGTTTGTACTTCCGAACATGATGAAGTTGTTAATAAATTATTGTGTTGGTATTATTGATAATTTGAAAAGGTTGCTGATGTTGTTCCTTTTTATCTGTATATTAAAGTCTTGTTGCTCTTCTTGTTGATGATGAAAAGGTCATCCGATTATTCTTGTGTTTGATCAATCCTCTCCTGTCTTGTTTTTCTTCACACCTTTTAGCTTGCAACAACTTTTCTGGCAATTTTCAAAATATTACCACACTCTTTTTTTTGAGAAAACACTTTTTTAAATTGGCGGGAATATTAATCCGTTAAATATTAGAATTTAACTTTATGAACCTGAGAATCTTGTGTTATCCTACGTATGCAGCAATAATTGTTAGATTTCGAAATGGTTGAGAATCTGTTCATTGAATGAATAATATTTAATATTATTTAATTGTTAACAACTCAACATGCACGAATAGAGAACAATCAAACCTATCAAAAAATGTTTGCATCAACACTCAAGCTTTCCTTACTGCTAAAGAAGAACAAGCTTCCATCATCATACTACAAAAACAATTTCTTCAACTTCTTTTACAGCAACAATCAACAACATTGCTCCTTCTCACATAATATTAACCACATTACACAACATCAAGAGAAGGCTTGTTCCGATAATGATAATTCTTCTCCCTCATCTTCATCTAGAGAAAAACTCAGAGACATGATACAACAATATTCTCACTCGATACCTGATCACTTGGTAAGGGCTTCCTCACGAATGAATCCAGCAGCAACCACTGTAGCTACAGAACAACATGAAATCAACAAGTCGAGAAAACTCTCCATCGATCTTCCAATGGATCCAAAGAAGCCATACGGAGACAATATTCAAATGAAGGAAATCAAGCTGAGGAAACAAAAGACCACTCTCGAACTCCACTTTACTATCAATAATCCACAATCACTAGTAGTAACAAGTCTGTTGGCAGAATTTCTACGAGTGGAGAGTCCCTCTGCTGAAGTACAAGGTGAGGGAGGACAGAAACGACTTGTCTTTGGAAAGAGAGGAATTAAAATATCGAATATTGAAATGGTTGGAACGTATGCTATTAGGATAATCTTCTCGGATGGACACGATTCAGGTATCTACTCGTGGAATTATCTGCACGCTCTAGGAAAGCACAAATATACCATGATGAAACAATATATCAATGATTTACGAGTAGCAAACAAGAGTAGAAATGCCAGAGTACCAAAATCTAAACCTTCATCTGCTTCTGCATCGAAATAAAGACTCACGGATGGATTGGTGAGATTTGAATTTTTTTGATTTGTTAACGGCTAGTTTTCTTGTTTGCCGCCATTCAAATTTTGAAAAATTTAAATAAATAAAAAATGTCTAAAAGAAATCGTTTGGATTATGAAGAGAAGGATCAAAAACACTGTGGTGGAAACTCTCTTGCCGAACAAGAATTGAAGAGATTAAAGTTTCACTCACCACCATCACACACTTTGAGTGTTTACGGTTCATCCATTATTGTAGATGATGAGGACAGTAGTGATATGAAATCGGAGACTTTTAAAGGAATTTACTATGATGATTTGCCACCAACTGACAAGGATTTTATTGCTTGCATTGGATCAAAGGATGGTGATATGTGTTATCTGACGTTTATGGAAGAAGACAATGAAATTAAACCTCTCGATAATGTTTCCAGTAAATTAAATATTGGAAGAAGTTTTCTCAAAACACCTTTCAACGATCTATTGGAAGATGTCAAAAGGATCAGATACGAGACTGAAATTAAAAAGAAGGCAAGAGAAAATTTAAAGAGTAAAGAACAAGTATCATCCAAACATGACAATGATGGAGATGTGGAAATTGTAGATACAAAACCAAAAAAGTTTGAACTATTGGTCGACAAGTATTCTCCAAAGTCATACTTGGATCTCTTAACTGATGATGTAAGTTGTCATTTTGCCATTATTAATGTGACATTCTGTAAAGAAAACAAATTCAGAAGTTTTGAGATGGATAAAGGAATGGGATACAATTGTTTTCCCAGAATTGGCCAAACAAAAGAAGAATTTACAATCGAGTAATGCCTCTACAACAACAAGCTCATCCTCAGATAAGGCAAGAAACTTTTTTGCTCCAAGATCAAACAATAACAACAATTCTCAAAAGAAGGATAACAACAACAACAACAACAACATCAAAATAATGATCCTTCTAAAAAGTTTCAAAAGAAGCAAACTATTGGTCCTGAACACAAGATTCTCCTCATTGCTGGACCTCCTGGTATTGGTAAAACTACTCTTGCTCACATTGCAGCCAAGCAAGCAGGTTATGAACCAATTGAAGTGAATGCATCTGATGATAGATCTAAGGAAAAACTCATTCCAGAAATTCAAAAAGTCACACAAATGCAAACAGTCTTTGGAAGTAAAAAGCCAAAGCTATTGATTTTGGACGAAATTGATGGAGTGCACAACTCTGAGAACAAGTCGGTTGTTTCTGAAATTTTAAAAATTGCCTATCCAAAAGTATCCAAAGAAACAAAGAAGGAAAAGCCTGAATCTTCAAAGAGTAAGAAGAACAAATCAGGAGTTAAAGTTGAAAAGAATAAGAAGAAGAAAGATCCAGGACTTTTGCGTCCAATTATTTGTATTTGCAATGATCAGTGAGTATTTGTATTATTTTACATGTTTCTTATTTATACTATTTAATAATTTTAATTGTTTTATTAATTTATAAACATGTCAATATGGAATTGTGAAATATAATACAGTTACTCACCTGGATTGAAAGAATTGAGACAAAGAAGTAAATTACTTGTCTTTAGAAGAGATGACGTCAGAACTGATAATACTCAAAGAATTGTGGATAGATTGAGCATGATATTGAAGAGGGAACATTTATTAAGCAGTGTGTCCAGACATGATTTGACACTTTTTGTAAAGGACTCTGACAATGATATTCGTTCATGTTTGAATACTATCCAATTCATGAGTTTTGACAAGTCTAAATCTATAACAGAAATGATGTCCATCACCAAGGATGTAAAGAAGGATATTTTCGATGCCATGAACATAATATTCAAAACAAAAAAGGCAGACTCAACACTAATCACAAAATATCAACATAATATTTTAAGCTTGTATAATAACTTGTTGGGAGAGTTGGATAAGATGGATAGTCTTATGAATGGTTGCTTTGAAAATTATCCTACTTTCAGTACTGGTTCATCAATGAAGGATATTTCTAATGTTTTGGAATGGGTTGAATGGTCTGATATGTTGGATGTTACTTCTAACAGACATCAGGAAAGGTCACTTCAAGTCTATCGTGTAGCTACCCTTACCAAGATATTTAAGGATTGTAAAAAATCAGGATTTGATATTTCCAGTGATTTTATTCAATATCCAAAACAACAAGGTGATTTCAAGAGAAGCTTAACACATAAGGAAAATATTTTCAAGACTTTACATTCGAATTGTTTCACTCCAAATACATATGATAGTGAAGATTACTCTACATGTCCAACAGCCATGTCAGTAAAGGATTTGGCCACCGATGTCTCTCCATTTATTTATCAAATCCTTTCCAACAAACACTTTGCAAATTTGAACAGCGGATCAGCACTTTCTTCCTTGGCTCATTCTGGTATGAAGGGTTTGAGACAACTGTTTAGAAATGATATGGAAAGATTTGCTTTTGAGAGGATTTTGGATATTTGTATTTCATATGGAATTAATGTCAAACAGACCTATGTGAATGAAACTCATGAAAATATGATTGATCCTCCACTTGATGAAGTGAGTGTGTATCCATCCAACCAAAAGCAAGAAAAAACCTCCCAAAAAACAATCCCACAACCACCAAACTCATCTACTCCAAACCAGGAAAATAATCCTGTTGTAATTAGTGAGTCTTTCAAAAAGATTATCTCTTCCGCTCTTCACTTTGAAAAATTAGAGAGAAAGTTCAAAAAGAAGAATGAACAAACCAATGAAGAAATGTTAGAAAAGATTAAATCTTCTCCAATGGCCTCTCCAAAGAATGTCAGTGCTCAAGTTGCTATTGAGCAAAAGAATAGAAGACGATCTCAACTCAAATCAATTCATACCATGTATTTGGAATTTCATGATGGTATGACAAATTCAATTAGACGTCCTGCAAAAACTAGTGAGTTTTTGTAATAAATGTCTCAAGTTCGAACAAACAAATCATTAAATGTTAATAATACTCTCTGTTGATTGGATTTTCTGAGAGAATCTGTTTTATGTTGGGAAGGTCAGCTATCTTATTTTTAGAGATTTTCTGACATTTATACACGCAAATCTTTTTGATTTTCTTACAGTTTTGAACAATATTGTTAATTGTTTTCTCTGTAATATCAGAATATTGAAGGTCAATAATTTCAAGATTACTCAATTTGGAAAGTGAGATTCCTCCTTCATCATGTATCTCACACTTGTTCAAGAAAACTCTTTTCAAACTTTTAACGGCAGAGATGTGTTTCAACCCAACATCTCCACAATGAGAACTCTTATTAAGTGATAACTCTTCAAGGTTTGGCAAACTATTGAGATGTTGGAAATCTTCACTTTCGAACCCAGATGTGCTGTCAAGAATAAGAATCTTGAGATTTTCCAACTCTGAAATTGCTTCAAATAATTTAGAACTAACTCTTGTTCTTTCCAAGTTAAGAGTTATGAGTGAAGATGGCAGTTTATGGAACTTGGCACTGGAAATATCATCATTCAGCAGCTCTAACTTTTCTAAATTAATTTCATTAATGACTGTGAAGAAATTTGTTTGTTCTTGTGGAGTTGGTGGAGTTGCAATGGAACTATTATCAAAGTAGGAATGGACTGCTCCTTCTATTTCTCTTAAATGTTTCCAATTTCCAATAGATTTACCACATTCAAGAATTGATCTAGAGCCTATGAGTGAAAATTTCTGAATAAGAGGTGTTGACTTTGAGATTTCTTCAATGCCCTCAAAGTAAAAGTTCCTTCCCTTAAATTTGAACTCCTTCAATTTGCTCATTTTGCAGATTGCAGAAACAATTTGGTACATATCTATTGTTCTACGAAATTCATAACCTTTAGTAATCCTTGTTGAAACCCTAGTGTTAGTATTTCTATATTTGGAAAATTATTTGCTGCAAAATCAATAGTCCCTTCAAACGTTTCCAATCCGTAAAAATCAAGAATTTTAACCTTTTCACATAAGCCTTTATCCTTCTCGAAAATATTAGCAATATAATTCAATCTTCTGGTCTCTATTTGCTCCAGATCACTTGGTCTTTTCTTTCTAATTGCAAAATATAAAGTACACAACTTTTTGTAATAAATATCAATAGGTTCTCGACCTAAATTTGCAATGATAACAAGTAATGGAATTCCTTAGAAATTCTATTTAAATCTACAAGATTTTCACTTGCTGACCTCCAGAAAATAGGTTTTGGGTTTGTGTCTCCTCTGTTTTTGAACTTTCCAAAATATTGTTTGTAAAACATTGATTCATCAAAACTCAAAGAATCGTATTCAAATGCTTCCTTAAAATTAGTATTTGCCAATTTTTCAAATCTTGGAAAACAAGCTTTAAATCCCGAACCAACATAATAATCCAAAACTTGCAACACAATTTCTTGAGGTAATTGAGCAAACAATTCCTTTAATTTCTCTTCTTTCGATTGAGTAACAGAGGCATCCTTTTGAGACGACACAGTTGCCGTCTTAATTGAAACTTTTGTTTGTGATTTACTACTACTACCAGAAGAAGCATCAACAATTATCGGAACTTTTTTTGCTTGCTGAGAATTTGATTTTGAGGTAGACACAGCAGTGGGAGCTACTACCGTCTTTGCACTGCCTCCATAAATTGAAAGGGCCTTCTTATGTGAAGTCTCCGGTTGAAATGTTGGTTTTGTTGCCGATGAGTCTGCCTTATTATTTACAACGGTTTTTTTCATTTTTTTTACTGTAAATATGAAATTATTTGAGCGGAGAAATTGGTGTTGAGGTTTTTTTTACTAATCGACAACGGAGTAATTACGTGGTTTAGTAGATAAGCATTATATTGTGTTCTTTTATTGGAATACTGTTTATAATTATTTACCATGTACAGCAACTGAAACTGCAAAGATGACATACCAAGCATGAAAAACACCAGGCAACCAAAACAGTAATGTGAATAAAAAGCTCAAGAATATATGAAGTGCAGGATTAGTTTCAGGTGAACACCATAAACTCCTGCTAGGATCTTCCATAACCTCGTGAATTCTCTTCTTATTGAGTGGAATGCAAAAGAAGCAGTAACAAACTGTCAGTGGTGGACAAATGACAGACATGAGCAAAATGAAAGCAAATAACCAATCTCCTTTATCCCATGCATTGATTGGTTTGTCAGAGAAGCAACAAGTGATGGCCATGATGATGTTTTTTTTGAGTTTTATCCTCAAGTTGACTGTTCGCTGGTTTATTAACAAATGACATATTTATCCACTCTTTTGCAACCAATGATTTAGAATTGTGATATTTTCCATACTTCCTTTCTAATGAACTGAGAATGTTACCACTTTCAAGTAACAATGTAAAATTTACAATAAATTCCACATCATACTATCATTTATTAATTGGATAGAGATTTAGAGTGTTGAACTTATTCAAAGATTAACTGAGAGATGAGTTCTCATCATCACTTTTTGGAATTGAGAATTTAAATTTCCATTTATGGAATTATTTTAAAAACATTTTCTTCCCATGTGAATAACATAATTCGTTTTAACCTTTGCTTGATATGCTACACACTTTCCTTCCTCAATCTTTTCCGTAAAATCCTCAATATTATTCACAAAATAAACAACTTTGGAACATTCCTTACATAATCTTGAATTCTCCTTCAAAAATGATAATTCTTCATATTTGAGTGGACACTTATAAATCCATTCACAACCTTCAATAAATTTCGAGTCATTGTTACTATGTACAAAGATTGGCTTCTCCACCTCGAATGATTTACTATTTGTATTTGGAGTGAGGGGTAATTTGGATGGATCATACAATTTCAAATGGAGAATTCTCCTCCTTTTCATGATAAATAATCAATATTTCATTAAAATAAAAAATGTAAGAGTTTCAATATTGGAATTATTGTAAACTTTGTAAACTACCCACCTCAATACATGGAGCCAATTTTTCACATTCAAATCACTTTTAAATTTGGGAAAGTAGGAAATCAAATGAATTCTCCAAATTCTATTCTGAGTTTTACAAAATTCAAAATCCTTCTCATCTTTCGTATATCTAAATTCGTATCGGGAGAGTATTGGCTTTTCGGATAGATTTTTAACAAGATTAAACTTGGAGAAATCTTTCAATGTCTGATTGAATATTAATTTTAAAAAGAATTGATTACAGAGTGAGAGATTGAATAAATCTTTTAGGTCAAAATCGGAGAGAATGTCTAATAGAACATCATTGGGAATGTCAGTAATCATGTTTGCCATTTTTTTTAAAGTTACAATGGATTCAAGATGGCTCAAATTTTTTTTGAGAGTCTGAGAACATTGAACACTTGTCGAGTACAGTTCAGTTTTACGACATTTTCAAAGGAAAAAGACTTGGATTAGTTCAAGCAGATTTCAATCGATCAATTGGTTGTACGGAAATGTAGTCAACAATTAAACACTTATGTGAAAGAACAACAGAGCTTCCTTTTCCATCATTTTCAAAATTGTGATAACTATATTTGAGACTATTTACTTAATTGGAGGGAGTGTCTGTATTGAGAGAAAGACTAATTACTGAACCAGCCAGCCAAATGCGAATGAGTCTGAGTTTGGTTTGCAATTGGTTATCCATTGATTGCCATTATTTCAGTCATTTTTATTAAGAAACAAGCCAAAGCAATTAGTCAAGGTCAACAAGAAACTCAACCACAACAAGTTTCTTATCAAACACAAAGAGAACAACACTCCCTAAATACTTACCAACAAGTTTATCCTCAAGTTGATCCAGAACAAGTTTACCAAGAACAAGGAACACAACATCAAAACAACCATTAAGCCAACAAAAACAATAAGTTGTTTGCTCAAAAAATCTTGTAAATATATAAAGTAGTTCAAAATTATTTGAGGTTTTGGAAAATGGTTAAAAATCTTCATCCAATTTTAATTCATTGTTAATGGTTGGGAAATGTGGAATGGAAGAATAGGATTCTAATCCAATTTTCCAGAAGAAACCCGACTTGTTCATTAACATGTCTTGAATCCATGAACATTGATTTTCAGTATGGAAGAGTTTTTCATAACCAAATGAAATTAGAATGTTATCTGAAACTACTTCCACATACTGATACATGGAGTTTCTATCCAATTCAATCAATTCAGTGGGTAAACTTGTAATAAATTCCTTTTCAATGTCAACTGCTTCCTTGACAAGTGAATGAACGAGAGTTTGAGGAAGTTTAGAATGTTTCAAATTCGAATATAGAGAATATAAAAAATTGGAATGAAATTCTTCATCTCTGAAAATCAAATCGTTGGAAATTGTTAAAGCTGACATTAATCCACGCTTCTTTAGCCAAAAAATGGAAAAGAAACTTGCAGAAAGGAAAATCTGTTCAATGCAAACTAAACCTATCAATCTTTCAGAAAATAAATTGTCAGAATTGAGCCATTTCTTTGTATATTGAGATTTCTTCATGGTTGAATTGATCATTTTTTCTATTAGTTCACTTCTTTCTGTTTCTTCTGTTAAAATTTCGAATAGATTACAATACATTTCGTAATGAATATTCTTCATGGCCAGCCGAAAGCCGTGGAAATGTTTTGCTTCTAGTATTTGAATATCTTTGAATGCTCCCCATAGATTTGTTTTCTGTTTACAATTTGCAACAAGAAACGCAAGAATAATCTTGATGAAACTGTGATCAGAATTGCAAATTTCCGATAATTTAGAAATGTCATTTCTAATAATTTGATCAAATTGTTCAACACTCCAAATGGAAGATGCCAATCTCTTTTTATAAATTTCCCACAGTTTAGGATATTGAATCGGAAAGAGAGTGAAACGGTGTGGATTTTCCGAAAGAATTTCTTCTGATTTTTCTAATTGTTTTAATTGTGAATGGAGTTCATTCATTTACGAAATATTCACGTAGGTACTTTCTTTTTGTTTCGAATAATATGGATCTTCCATTACACAGCCCCGCCAAATTTTGTCGTTTCAAAAAATAAATTTTATTGTTACAGTACCAGTCAATAATTCAAATATGTAAAATAAACTCTCTAGTGATATCTGTCATCTAAAACATTTCTTAAAAATTCTTTCGATTTTTTCAAAACCTTAGAAAGTGGAATAATATTTGGATGGTACATATCATTCTCCTCATCATAGGTTATAATGGAATCAGAGCAGACATTGGGTGAACTTCCATCTGAATTTAAATATTCCAATCCAGGTAATAAATAGAAAGCATGACATCCAATATGTCCAAATGCAAGATGTTCATCCTCGCTCACTAGTAATACTACAAATTCATATTCATAATCACAATTTGATTTGTAATAACACTTTGATCCACATGTTGAATATTCAATGGTAATACTGTTGATACTTTCTTTTTTTCTTTCACATTCGATCAGTTTCGTATTCATTTCATAAGCTTGAACATTATTTAACACTTTTTCAAGAATATTCATTGCCCTTTCTGAATACTCTTCACTAGCTTCCCCATCACCTAGGAACGTATAATCATTTCTAGGGTTAACCAAAACATCACTAAAAAATTGTGTATAAAATCCAGTTTTTTGCCAATTAATTCGTGGAAGATCGCAATGACAAGTTGAATCAGAGCATACATGTTCTACAAACTTATTTCCCAATAATAATAATAATTGATTAGAATTCGGATCAGTTTCAGAGTTGGTAATCGTGCAGCGGATGGAAATATCGGTCGGGTAGAGAATGAAGGAAGGAGAGGTTCTTTTCCATGAGTGATTTTCTTGACCAAGAAGGATTTTACGTTGTTTAATCTTTTCGATTCGTTCTTCTTCAGTGTTTGGGCATGTTTTTCTTTTGGTTTGTTTGGTTCGCGCCATTTTTTTTTGCACAACAATTTAGCACGTAGTCCTCCACATTAAAATTTTTTCTTATTATTGGTGGAAGTTTGAAGTCAATCAAACATGAATTGTAAAAAGAAATTGTAAAGCACTTACTTGATATCAAGCAAAAAACAGCGCTTTAGAAATTTTACAAAAAAAATGAGCAAACGAAGCAGGATTAGAAAAATATTAATTTCGGAGGAGCTAGACAATAATGACATGGAGGAGAAGGCAAAAAAGAAAAAACTTGTTGCACTCCCAGAACAAGAAATATTTTCAGATGATATTTGTTTTGAAATAATTTCCATGATTGATGATTCGTGGTTTATTTTAAAAAATTGCGTTTTAATTTCAAAACAATTCTTTAATGTGATCAAGGAACGTTCCAAACTGGTTATTAAATTTAAAAAAAAATTTACTGGATATAGAATTAAATTATTCATGAATAGTCGATTTATGAGTAGTATTGTTGATGTTAAATTTTCTGAAATGTTGTTTAACTCTGAAGAAACACCTAAATTCATAAATGAAATGACTAAGATGAAACAATTAACATCACTTGATATTTCTTACAATCTAATTTATGCTGAAGGAGCCAAATCAATAAGTGAAATGAAACAATTAACATCACTTGATATTGGTGGAAATCGAATATATGATAAAGGAGCCAAATTCATAAGTGAACTGAAGCAATTAAAATCACTTAATATTTATAACGATTGGATTGGTATAGACGGAATCAAACCAATAAGTGAAATGAAACAATTAACATCACTTGATATTGGTAGAAATCACATTGGTGATGAAGTAGCCAAATTCATAAGTGACATGAAACAATTAACATCACTTACTGTCAATAACAATCGTATTGGTGTGGAAGGAGCCAAGTTCATAAGTGAAATGAAACAATTAAAATCACTTGGTATTAATAACAATCAAATTTATGCTGAAGGAGCCAAATTCATAAGTGAAATGAAACAATTAACATCACTTGATATTTCTGACAATCAAATTTATGCTGAAGGAGCCAAGTTCATAAGTGAAATGAAACAATTAACATCACTTAATATTAGTAACAATTGTATTGGTGATGAAGGAGCCAAGTTCATAATTGAAATGAAACAATTAACATCACTTGATATTGGTAGAAATCAAATTGGTGATGAAGTAGCCAAATTCATAATTGAAATGAAACAATTAAAATCAATTGATATTAATTAGTATTATTCAGTTGGCGACCAATGGCTTAGTTTTTATCCATTTTGAAAATAAGATTTAATTCCTGGTTTGTTTTGGTGCTAAAAGGCCAATAAATTCCAAATTGGATATTGGTGTTGATGATGTTGAAGTGGATCCACTTCCTTCATTAATATCTCCAAAAATTACAGTTTCAGAAGATTTCTTTCCATCTTTTAAATCAATGAAAGAAGTAAACTGAAATTTCTTCTCATCTTTACGTTTGTAAATAATTGGAGCTCCAAGAAAATTGGTAAAATCTTTCAATTCCAATAATTTGAAATTTTCACTTTGTCTAATGGAGGTTGTTTCTACCATGATGGTTGATTGATTAGAGGTCAGTCCAGCAATAATTTCCAATTCTAGGACAGCTAATTCTTTGTTATCGACTTTGTAAATAAATTCTGATCTAAGGCCTTTGAGTTTTCTGCCAACCTTGATTTTCTTAATACTCAAACAATTATCAATTAATTCATCATAGCATGAAAATTCAAATTCTTTAGCATAGTCTGCTATATTGAAAAGTTGAAAAGGATTCTTTACCTCTGATTTGGTGATTTCTTCTAATGTAAGATTGTGGTTTTCAAAATTGAGTGGAACATAATTGTAATATGTGCTCCTTTCAAAGAGAACCTTACTCTTTGAGCACCAAATGGATGGAGTAAGCACTTTTTCCTTTTCTATAATTCTAACGTGTCCTTCATTATAAGGTTTTCCCACTTGACCTGGTTTGTATAAAACTATTTTTTTATCCCATGTGGAGATAATGAATCCAAACTCTTCATCTGTGATACGAACTTGTGAAATTTGACCACTAACCCACATGCAATGTTCAACACACACCAATTCCTCATACTGGACATTCCAATAAAATTCATAAAGTTTCTGTTCAGAGAGAACGAAACTTCTCAATCTATTTCCATCTAAATAGGGAATAAACTCTGGATTATCCATAAATCTCTTTAAAATAAATTGCTTTCCCAATGATTCATCAGTAAATTTCACAGATTTTGTAAATTTTCTTTCTTTCAAATCGAATAGGAAGATGGATCCATTGAAACATAAACCATTCAATGAATATTTTCTCTCCTTGCAATTTTCACAAGGGAGAAGTACAACTAGAGGGCTATCTGTATCAATGGCAGCATACTGATCTACTGAATTAGAATCCAATATTAATTCTTCTGTGAAAAGACATTCTGTGGAACTATTTTCTAAGAATGGATTTTTACATCCAAATTTTGTTGCCACAGCTAATTGATCAACAAATCCAATAACTGTATAGTCCTGAGTTCTAATTACATTATTTAAAGACATTGAATGAGGTTTCCAATCTGAAATAATTGCACTTTCAATTACAGGGTATTCTCTCTTGAATAATTTACATACACCTCTCACTTTTTTAGAATCATTTTCAATCTTATTCAAGACTAAACTTTCAAAATCTAATGAAACATTCTTAAAACCACAATTGACTTGTTCTTGACCCTTGACGTTGATGTCAAATTCTGAAATGATAACCTTGCTAATATTTGAAACATCAGAAATATCTAACAAGTAAACTTGATGATGACGACCTTTACTTTCTGTAATCCCCAAAATACTCTCCGAAAATACAGAAATCACTGAGTCGATTGAATATTTAGTTTCTTCCTGTTTTGGTTGGGAATCAACAACATCAACCAATGATGAAGAAGAACTGTCTGATGTACCGCCACCAAATATTGGTCTTGATGAAATGGCTTCTTCCAAAGAAGTATTTAAAAAAGCAGCAAATGGATTATTTGTTGTTGTTGTTGTATTGTTATTGGGTGTGAAAGAAAAAAAACCACCAAACGGATTGTTGGAGAAAGATGGTGTGTCTTGTTCTGACATTTTTTTATGATTGTTGAACATCAATGTTAATCTCAAAATACCATTGTCCATCAAGAATGGAACTGAGATGTGGTCTTTTATTATGTGCTAATACGGGATAAGCTAATTGTTAGGATTGTAAGTCTTACAGATTAAGATAACAGGGGCGGTGGTGTAATGGTAACATCGCAGCCTCCAAAGCTGTGGCCGGGGGTTCGATTCCCCCTCGCCCCCTGTTCTTTTGCATTTTATTGTATTCATATTTCTCTTAATACCAAAAAAAGAAATAGCTCAATATTCTGAAATAGCTCAATGTTCTATTAAGGTGATAACCCTAAACTTTTCAATTAATGTGAATTTATTGATGTAAAGGTTGAATCCCATTGCAGGTAAATGAATGAAAACTTGACGATTTGGAACAACAGAATGTACAACATTTGGACCTTCGAGGCAATATCCTATTCCAGACTTTCAAGATTTTGAATCATTCAAAGCAAGGTATGTCAACATTCCTTGGATTTATTACAAGGAATTATTTGAGATTCCTACTACTCTTTAACGTTTTCATCGTACTAATGTAATTGTCAAGGCAGTGGTGAAGGACATAACCATTGAAAATAACCTTAAAAGAAAGAGATCTCAAGAGGATGAGAGTAAGATGAAAAAGTCCAGCGATGTCAGCTCGACCAGAAGTGAGGAAAATTCCTATGAAGACGAAATTGACACTGCCTATACAATTTTAAGCCTAGAAACAGAGGTAAGTTTCAATTGACCCAATATTTCTAATACAACACTTATTGGAATATGATATTAATTTAACAACCTTCAAAGGGAGTAAATGGAGATAGAAGACTGGAAATATTAGTACCAATTTGGAATAATGAAAGGACTCAATTTGTTCATATTGTCCTCATCATTGAATTTCTTGATTTGATAAATGGGGGTGGTGTTGAAATTTCGAGGAGTAACCCAAACTTGTAATGCCTTCACAAATTCCACCAGCCAACATGTATGTAAATATTTCAAAGTTTTTATGTTGGAGTATATCACTTGTTTGCATTTATTTTGGATCCAAATTTTTCATATAATTATCCAATCCATGGCATGAAGCATATCCACCTTGTTCACATTCAATTTGAACTTCATTTCCTGCATGAGCAAATCCTAATTCTTGTGGTGGCATTTGAGCAACAATGTCTTTCTGAGCTGGTCCATTACCATTCTTATCCACCATATTGACAACACGAACGAAATCCTTAATATTCTTATTGACTATTTGAGCGTGTTCCTTATCTCCAACTCTTGGATTACCAAATGTAATTAATTCAATTTTGGCTGCATTATTCTTGTGATTCAATTTGTAATCGGTGGCTGCAAGTTCACTCAGTGCGCCTCCCTTACTGTGTCCTGTGAAAACAATCTTGGAAACTTTTCCTTCCTTTTGATATTGATTAATGAGCTTGTTGATTTCCTTTCTATCTTTCATGTAATGCTTATAGAAACCAGAGTGAACTTTTCCAACGTATTTTCCATTGAAATAGGCAGGTTTCATCTTCATATCAAAGTTATTTCCCCAATCCACAACAGAATTTACATCAGTTCCTCTATACGAAACTACAAGGGTCTTATCTTTTTCATTGTACCAAACTTTAGAAGCAATCTTTTCAATTTTGTGATCCTTTTCAAGAATTGGCTTGTAACCTTGTTGTTTCAATAATGCTTCACTCTTTGCATCATTGTCATTGGCTTTTGAGAATTCAGATGCCAATTCAACTGATTTGGCAGTGATTGATGACTTGGGTGTGACCTTTTGATTACTATTCATTCCGTTTAAAGTTTCCAATTTGGTAACACCTTTAGTTTGGTCATTCTTTGCACCACTCTTCCAATGTAAAAGTTTCTTTGCTTGTTTTTTCAAGATTTTCCAACCTTTAGTTTCGCTAATTTTCTTTCCAATTTTGTTTAATTCTTTCAATGCCTTCTTTGCAATCTTTTGAGAAACTTTCTTTAGAGATTTCTTGATTGGAGAGAAGATTTTGTCAATTTTCTTACCTGCCTTTCTCAATGCTTGTTTAGTTGTTTCAATCTTGGAAGAAATCTTTCGTCCAAATTTGCTCTTTTTAAATTTCTGTGATTTTTCTTTGATTTTCTTTACAATTTTGCTATTCTTCAATTTGTTGGAGAGTTTCTTGTATTTTCCCTTCAATTTCTTTGCTTGTTGTTTAATTTTAGAGGAATATTTCATGAACAATTGTTTCTTCTTGTTGGCCCTATTCTTCAACTTGTTAGAAACCTTTGAAACAGAATCGAATAACTTCTTTTTAGCTTTCTGTTTGATATTCTTCCACTTGCCAAAAGATACATCTTTGACCTGACGAATGCGATCCTTTATCTTTCTTTCTGCCTGTTTAATTTTATTCGAAACGCTATTCTTTACTTTACTAATGGCTGACTTGAAACTAAACTTTCCTTCCACAAAAGTGCCACTTCCAAACAAACAACAAATGCCAATAACTATTAGAAAGATGGAAATACATCGAGAGAATAAGTTTCGTCCCTCCATCATATTTTATTCGAAAGTGAGTAAATGGATGATGAATTTTTTTGATGATTGGTGGTTAAAAGGAAACAAACATTTCAAAGCAAAACATCAATTTCACATGACCAATAAGGAAGAACTTTCGACTAACTTTGATATCAAATGTTTTTTTATTCGAAACTTAACTTTCAACTTTTCACAACATTAAATTCTCAATCTTTAAACTCTGGAGAAACTTGATCAAGAATTGAAGTACTCTGTGTTGGATATTATCATTGTTTCCCGCCAACAAGAATTGAAACTCTATTTCAAAAATATCAAATAAATTTGAATTTGTAAAAAAATACTCTAATCATCTACAAATCATGAACACCACCAACACCTCAAATAATAACTCAATGTTTTACCACCACTACTCACAACAGGTTAACCTCTCGGATCACGATGATCAGGATTTTAAAAAGCGAAAAAGACAAGACTCTGATGATGATCGTTCTAAAAAGAATAAAAAGGACGTTTCCGAAGAAACATTATTCAATTCATCATCATCAGTAACAACCTCCTATTTAACAAATCATATAGATGATGATAATGTACCTCCTCCTTCCGATTTTGAATGGATTAATTAATTATAATTTATTATTAATTATTATTTAATGTTTAATGATGATGATCAGTGAATGAAAGCCTTGGTTGGAATCGGACAACGGAGAGGACTTGCTGCTAGGGCCTCGGATATACAAACCTTCAATGGTTATATTAATAGAAGAACGAACACAATCAAAATAGTATGGAGTAATAAATATCTTAGAGCTATGTGGTATTGTGTTGGAAGACAATAGTTATCTCATCCGAAACTAATAAGAAAAAAATGTTGAATAACCTGTCAGGCCAACCGCAGAAACCAACAGTTGGTTTGGACGATTCTCTCATTCAACGATATAAATTCAATATTGAAGCAGTTTTTGATCATGAAAGTGCTCGTGATTGTTTCCGAAAGTTTTTAAAGGATAATTTGAATGAAGATCCTTTCATGTTTTATGAAATGGTTGAAAAGTATCAAAAAACAAGATTGGACAAGAATAGATTTGATATGGCTGTGGAAATTATGAATACTTTTATTGTTGTGAGTGCCAAACATGAATTAAACTTGTCAATGACCATTAGGAAAGATATTCTAAAGATTTGGAGTTTAACTCAAGAATTTAATGAAGGAAAAGCAGTTGAATTAATAGAATGTCCATCGGACTTGTTCCAAAAAGCTCAGAACGTCATCTTTTCCGAATTGAAACAAGATAATTTTCCAAGATTTACCGAATCTGAACAATTTAAATCCTTTTTAAAGAAGGAAGCTAAAAAGCCAGAATACAAGGACTCTCCGTCACAATTACTTGAACAATTAGGGACCAAAAAAGCATTGGATAGATCAGACAGTAGCATTTCACAGGATTCGAGTGATAGTGATAGCTTTATAGAGGAAATAGCAAAGAGTACACCCATCAAGGATAAAGATAGACCCCTAATTGATAATACCTCAATCTATGTCACTCCAAAGGATTATGAAATTTTGAAAGAATTAATATCAACATTGAACGATAGCAACAGGTGGAAAGTGGCAGATGAAAAGACTGGAACCAAAACACTTACCAGTGTTAATAATTATTATATGAATTTAGGTGAAGAAGCCCTACCAGTGATTTGTTTTACTGGATTGATGAGTGGAGATCACAAGAGTATTTTCAATCTATTTTTTAAGAAATCATTTGAAAAGAAGATTAACTCATTCTATAAGAGAAAATTCCAATTGGAATATTTAAAGATTAATCATGAAAAGGGAATTGAATATCCTAATACTATTATTTACCATCAGTTGGATGTAAGTTTTCAAAATTCAATTTGGTTGGGTGATTAAGTTTACTATGTATAATACTATTTGTAAAACTTAAAACTAATAGATTGGGTTCCCATTCACTAAGAGAGAAATTGTCATGGCTAGAACCATCATACCTGATAAATATAATGAGGAAACGGATGAATTTGATAGATTTGTAATTATTTCAAAGCCTTCAGCTCACGATGACTCACCAATCAAGAAGGATTTTATTCGAGTGTCGCTCTACACAGCTGTTGTTATTGAGAGACAAACAACAAACTCGACCAGATATTACATTTTTGATTTCATGGATATGAAAGGTTCTGTTCCAAAGGGTATTGTTGCAGGATTATCCAAAATGTTTGCTAGTGACATGCACAAAATGGTAAAGAAGGATATTGAAAAGACAAAGGATGTAGATGAAGAGCTCTTGTCAATGGATGGATCTCTTGAAGTTTTAAAAGAGCAAAACAAAGCAATAAGAGACTCATTGAATCTTTAACCAAACCTTAAATAAACACAATATAATGATAATTTTGAAACTATGTAAGCCATTTTGCAAAAACTAACGTGAGCCTTCCTAGCTCAGTTGGCAGTAGCGCTGTCCTAGTAAGACAGAGGTCTTGGGTTCGATTCCCAAGGGAGGCAAATTTTGCCACTGTTTTATAATTGTTATTGGTAACAATTTATTAATGTTGCGTTAAACTAAGAGAGGATGGTTACTGGAGAGAGTATTTTTGCATGTTTGTAATGTATCACTAACATCTTGGAAGTTGGGTCTCAAATGAGGATTCAAGTTCCAACAATTTTGAACGAGTTGAGCTATGGCAATCATTGAGAGTGCTATCAAATCATTATCATACTTGGATTTGATGAATTTTTGAGTCCATTTAGAAACTGTATCAGCATTGAATGGAATGACAGGTCTCAATCCAGTAGCAACTCTTGCCAATAAGTTGTCATTGGTCACATCAACATATGGAGTGTGTTTGAATTTAGAGTTGGAGAAGAGTTTTTCCTTATTGATATACAGATAAGGATGGTCTTCAAAGATTACTTGCCAAGCAAGAATGGAGAAACTGTAAACATCAATGGCACGTGGATTATTGGTTAAATTTGGATCTGTACAACAAATAAGCTCGTTAGGAACGAAATATATGGTACTCCTATTCTTGGTTTCAGTATTTTCCAAGTTGAGCGGCTTACTGAGACCAAAATCACAAATCTTACAAGCTTTTGTTCTTGGATCAAATAACACATTAGCAGGAGTCAAATCTCTGTGAACAATGGAAGGATTCAATTGATGCAAGTAATTCATACCAGTGGCAATTTGAAGTAAAATTTCAATCTTTTCATCCAAATCCATCTTGATAGATTTTCTACACAAATCCCCAATCAATTGATTCAAATTTCCATTAACATATTCCATAACAATTAATTGTTCCTTTCCCTTAATAGAAATACCGTAACATTCAACAATATTTGGATGTTTCAATGAATACATGAGTGCAGCTTCTCTTGGAATTTCAATTTGCTTGGAGTTATCTGGAACTGGAGTAGACTTGACAGCAACAAGTTGATCTTTCCAATAGGCCTTATGAACACTTCCATATCCACCACTTCCCAGTTTCGACAAGAGTTTAAGTTCACTTGGTTGAATATAGAGTGGCAATAAAGGACTACTATTAATTCCAGTATTATAGACATTGATATCATCAAATGTTACATCCAATCGTTCATTTGGAAGTGGTAATGATTGAGTACTTCGGAGAATTGAATGGCTGTTCAATGCTGCTCTAGCTTTCCATTTCTTACAGGCACAACCACAAACAATAGCAAGTGCTGCACAAATACAACCACAAACTAATATTGGAAGAATGATGGCAAATATGACAATAAAAGCACTGAGGGAAACGTCACCATTGGAAGGATTAACAATTGGCGTTGCAGCATCTTCATAGTAACCAACAAAGAATTTTCCAGTCTTGGTGGTTTGAATAACTATTTGAAGAGGACTAGTAGAGGAAATTGAGCATTCTTCCTTTTTCATTGTATCAACAAGGTAACATGTTTGTTTCTTATCAACTCCAGTATTCATTCTTGGAATGGTCAATTTTGCAATATTGTGGCTACTAGAAATTGAAACAGAGGCATAATCACGCTTAATATCCAAGAATGATAACTCAACAGTATAAGAGCTTGGCATGACACTTCTCCAAGATTGAACATAATACATCTTGAGGCATACCATTGAATTCTCTGGAACGCCCAAAGTATCTCTTGAAGTATTAAGGGCTTGCAACAAGGAGAATTGAAGAGAAGTTTGAGTGATGGTATCAGAATATGGAGCAATCGAATCAGATTTCATAAATTTGCAATACGAGTAGTATGATAAACTTGAAATTCTTGAAGGGCCTTCGCCTTCCTTTAGTTTTCTGAACTGAACTTCTGTGAGAATATTATAAATCTGAGTGATCTTTTCAAGTGAATCAGATACTGCACGAGAAGTTCGTCTCTTTGATCCAAAGAAGAATTCTTCAAATTTTGTAGCAGAGTTCAAACATAGCTGAATATCATCAGAAGACATTTGAATTCCATTGGATATTGTCTTGTGTAATACTGTCGAAAAGTATTCCAAAACAACAGTACTTTCACTATCCCTAAAGACATTAACAACTGAGCTCACCGAATCAATAACTGAAATGGCAGATTTCAATGAAGAAACTGTCAATGTAGTGTCAAGAGTCTCCTTTGTCAAAGATGTCTTGATACTATCCATGACAATTTGTTTTGATTGTTCTTTCACTTGGAAGAAGAACCACTGCTCACATAACTAATCAATGAAGAAATGACTGATGGAGTAATTGGATTAGAGGCAACATAATTCAATTGAGCAACAGTTAAATCTGTAGTATTCACCTGGACTATGACTGGTTTATCATAGATTGTGTATGATAAGAATGAATCGGAAACTGAAACTGAAGTTTCCCATGTTCCTGAAGGGAGAGTAGTATTGAGAGATGTTTGAACAGAACTTTCAGCCAATGATTTCCATGCCAAAGAACCTACACTTCTATAAATGAATGTAAATGTCAAGACATCTTGATTGAAAGAAATCCAATCAACACCACCAGATAGCATGAAATTGGTTGTGAGAGAGTAACCAAAGAGAGGAGAAACAGAGAATGATCCCATTGAAGGAGGACTATAGGTCTTGAAGGAAATAAATCCAAATCCCTTCTTACTTCCATCTGTAACAATCAGAGAAATGTTATACCTCTTTCCAAGAGCTAATTGACTGGATGGAATAACTAATTGATTCGAGACAGTTGTATCCATTGGTTGGAATGGAGATTTCCAATCATACACAACATTTGGACCAATAGATTCTTTGATATCAGCTGATATGGTCAAATCTTTTGTTGGATTTACCCAAGTTGGATTTTGACCTTCCAATTTAAGAGTAACAGTGAGTACATTTGATGAAGAGACATCAACAAGGACAACCTGAATTGACTTGGTAATAACTCTGGAATCCTTCTTGAATGTTGCTTCACAAACATATTGCCCTGGATTGAGTTGTTTTGAGACTGTAATAGTATGATTGAAAACAGTGTCAACCAACTTTTCTACCAATTGATTATCTTGATTCCAACAATTGAGTGATAAATCACCCTCAGTTAAATCACTAGGGAAGCTTGGATCAGAGGCTTTAACTTCAAATTCCAAAGGTTTTTCAAAGGATTGAGTGAGCATATTTGGAATGTTGAAATCAAGAGTGAGCGAAGCCAAATTGGACTTGACAATAAATTCAAAGGAAGTGGAAATTTCCAACCTGCCAAGTGTAGCAATAACCTTGAATGAATATTCACCTTCGTTAGAAATTAAAGTTCCAGAGCTCTTGGTTGATTCGCCAATGACAAGGAATTTATCAACCTGAACCAGTTGAGATTGGTTAAAGAAATCAGAAGCATATCCATAGCTAATGGAGCTGAAATGACCGGCATAGCACAATGGAATTGTCAATTCTGGTTCCAAAGCAATAGAAGTTCCAATCACATAGGAAATTATTGAACCTTGCTTGATTGTGAGAGATGGTTTCACTATTTGTGGATCACAAGAAAGCTCACAAGTTATTCCGTAATATCCAGAATTACATTTGCCACAAGTTTCTCCAGCCCATTGCTCGCTACACACACAAACATCTAGTGCTGAGCACAAACCATGACCAGAACAAACAATAGAGGTGTTGAATTCTCCAAAGCAGATTGGATTTTCACAATTTGAACCATTATATCCAGCCACGCAGGAATCACACAATTCTCCAGCCCATCTTCCTTCACAAAAACATTGAGAAGGTGCAACACAAGAACCATGTCCAGAGCAAACCATAGAATCGTTAGCGCTTACTCCATAACAAACTGGCACATCACAAGCCGATCCTGAATACTTTTCTGGACAAGTATCACAATTAGCTCCAGTCCAAAAACCAGAACAAACACATACAGAGGACTCAATGCACTTGCCATTTCCAGAGCAAACACTTTCATTATTAGCTGCAAGGCCGTAACAGATTGGAACATCACATCCCTCTCCAGTGTGACTTTCGTCACAGGATTTGCAGTCATCTCCAGAGAAACCTGTTGGACAATTTTCACACATTGCTCCTTCCCAGTTATTGAAACAAGAACAATTGGATGGGGTAATACAAGAGCCATGACCAGAACAAACTGATCTATCATTACCATTCACTCCAAAACAGGACGGAATATCACACAATTCACCAATGTAATCGCTACTGCATTGATTACAACTTTCACCCTTCCAATTCTCAAAGCAGGAGCACAAATCTGGACTGAAACAATAACCATTTCCAGAACATACATTACTAGCATTTGCTGAAATACCAAAGCATGAAGGAATGTCACATCTCTCACCACTGAATCCAGGTGTACATGAGGAGCAGTCTTCTCCATAATAACCTTCTCTACAAGTGGAACAATCATTTCCAGACCAGTTTTCGTTACAAGTGCACATATCTGGTCCTGAACAGTTACCGTGCCCTGAGCAAACCAAAGAACCATCTCCTTCAACGCTTGATCCAAAACAAACAGGAATATCACAATTTGAACCACTGTATCCAGCTTGACAGGAATCACACAATCTCCAACCCA